AAACGGGTTTGGTTTTTTTTGAAATTCGCGATTTCAGTTTTTGACAAAAATTGGAATTTTTTCTTTTGGTTTTTTTGCTGTAACTTGGGCAAAAATGGTCCTACACCAAAAATTCATACTGTTTTGAACAGATAACAAAATTTGCTATAAATCCATAAAACTTTCCGTGTAATTTTGGAAAAATAAAATTTTCGCCAATTTTTAATTTTTTTATAAGGGGGTACCCCATGATTTTTTGCGAAAAATTAAAAATGAATAAATTGTCAAGGTTTAAATGCCAATCGTTAGGAAATTTAATAACGAGTTCAGAAAGGTATGACAATCCATACTTTGAATCAGTATTTGGTTTGTTATAGCGAAAAAACTGCAACGTTTTAGCGAAAAAACGGGTTTGGTTTTTTTTGGAAATTCGCGATTTCAGTTTTTGACAAAAATTGGAATTTTTTCTTTTGGTTTTTTTGCTGTAACTTGGGCAAAAATGGTCCTACACCAAAAATTCATACTGTTTTGAACAGATAACAAAATTTGCTATAAATCCATAAAACTTTCCGTGTAATTTTGGAAAAATAAAATTTTCGCCAATTTTTAATTTTTTTATAAGGGGGGTACCCCATGATTTTTTGCGAAAAATTAAAAATGAATAAATTGTCAAGGTTTAAATGCCAATCGTTAGGAAATTTAATAACGAGTTCAGAAAGGTATGACAATCCATACTTTGAATCAGTATTTGGTTTGTTATAGCGAAAAAACTGCAACGTTTTAGCGAAAAAACGGGTTTGGTTTTTTTTTTGGAAATTCGCGATTTCAGTTTTTGACAAAAATTGGAATTTTTTCTTTTGGTTTTTTTGCTGTAACTTGGGCAAAAATGGTCCTACACCAAAAATTCATACTGTTTTGAATAGATAACAAAATTTGCTATAAATCCATTAAACTTTCCGTGTAATTTTGGAAAAATAAAATTTTCGCCAATTTTTAATTTTTTTATAAGGGGGTACCCCATGATTTTTTGCGAAAAATTAAAAATGAATAAATTGTCAAGGTTTAAATGCCAATCGTTAGGAAATTTAATAACGAGTTCAGAAAGGTATGACAATCCATACTTTGAATCAGTATTTGGTTTGTTATAGCGAAAAAACTGCAACGTTTTAGCGAAAAAACGGGTTTGGTTTTTTTTTTGGAAATTCGCGATTTCAGTTTTTGACAAAAATTGGAATTTTTTCTTATGGTTTTTTTGCTATAACTTGGTCCTACACCAAAAATTCATACTGTTTTGAACAGATAACAAAATTTGCTATAAATCCATAAAACTTTCCGTGTAATTTTGGAAAAATAAAATTTTCGCCAATTTTTAATTTTTTTATAAGGGGGTACCCCATGATTTTTTGCGAAAAATTAAAAATGAATAAATTGTCAAGGTTTAAATGCCAATCGTTAGGAAATTTAATAACGAGTTCAGAAAGGTATGACAATCCATACTTTGAATCAGTATTTGCTTTGTTATAGCGAAAAAACTGCAACGTTTTAGCGAAAAAACGGGTTTGGTTTGTTTTTTGGAAATTCGCGATTTCAGTTTTTGACAAAAATTGGAATTTTTTCTTTTGGTTTTTTTGCTGTAACTTGGGCAAAAATGGTCCTACACCAAAAATTCATACTGTTTTGAACAGATAACAAAATTTGCTATAAATCCATAAAACTTTCCGTGTAATTTTGGAAAAATAAAATTTTCGCCAATTTTTAATTTTTTTATAAGGGGGTACCCCATGATTTTTTGCGAAAAATTAAAAATGAATAAATTGTCAAGGTTTAAATGCCAATCGTTAGGAAATTTAATAACGAGTTCAGAAAGGTATGACAATCCATACTTTGAATCAGTATTTGCTTTGTTATAGCGAAAAAACTGCAACGTTTTAGCGAAAAAACGGGTTTGGTTTTTTTTTTGGAAATTCGTGATTTCAGTTTTTGACAAAAATTGGAATTTTTTCTTATGGTTTTTTTTGCTGTAACTTGGCCAAAAATGGTCCTACACCAAAAATTCATACTGTTTTGAACAGATAACAAAATTTGCTATAAATCCATAAAACTTTCCGTGTAATTTTGAAAAAATAAAATTTTCGCCAATTTTTAATTTTTTTATAAGGGGTTACCCCATGATTTTTTGCGAAAAATTAAAAATGAATAAATTGTCAAGGTTTAAATGCCAATCGTTAGGAAATTTAATAACGAGTTCAGAAAGGTATGACAATCCATACTTTGAATCAGTATTTGCTTTGTTATAGCGAAAAAACTGCAACGTTTTAGCGAAAAAACGGGTTTGGTTTTTTTTTTGGAAATTCGTGATTTCAGTTTTTTACAAAAATTGGAATTTTTTCTTATGGTTTTTTTTGCTGTAACTTGGCCAAAAATGGTCCTACACCAAAAATTCATACTGTTTTGAACAGATAACAAAATTTGCTATAAATCCATAAAACTTTCCGTGTAATTTTGGAAAAATAAAATTTTCGCCAATTTTTAATTTTTTTATAAGGGGGTACCCCATGATTTTTTGCGAAAAATTAAAAATGAATAATTTGTCAAGGTTTAAATGCCAATCGTTAGGAAATTTAATAACGAGTTCAGAAAGGTATGACAATCCATACTTTGAATCAGAATTTGCTTTGTTATAGCGAAAAAACTGCAACGTTTTAGCGAAAAAACGGGTTTGGTTTTTTTTTGGAAATTCGCGATTTCAGTTTTTGACAAAAAGTGGAATTTTTTCTTTTGGTTTTTTTGCTGTAACTTGGGCAAAAATGGTCCTACACCAAAAATTCATACTGTTTTGAACAGATAACAAAATTTGCTATAAATCCATAAAACTTTCCGTGTAATTTTGGAAAAATAAAATTTTCGCCAATTTTTAATTTTTTTATAAGGGTACCCCATGATTTTTTGCGAAAAATTAAAAAAAAATAAAATGTCAAGGTTTAAATGCCAATCGTTAGGAAATTTAATAACGAGTTCAGAAAGGTATGACAATCCATACTTTGAATCAGTATTTGCTTTGTTATAGCGAAAAAACTGCAACGTTTTAGCGAAAAAACGGGTTTGGTTTTTTTTTTGGAAATTCGTGATTTCAGTTTTTTACAAAAATTGGAATTTTTTCTTATGGTTTTTTTTGCTGTAACTTGGCCAAAAATGGTCCTACACCAAAAATTCATACTGTTTTGAACAGATAACAAAATTTGCTATAAATCCATAAAACTTTCCGTGTAATTTTGGAAAAATAAAATTTTCGCCAATTTTTAATTTTTTTATAAGGGGGTACCCCATGATTTTTTGCGAAAAATTAAAAATGAATAAATTGTCAAGGTTTAAATGCCAATCGTTAGGAAATTTAATAACGAGTTCAGAAAGGTATGACAATCCATACTTTGAATCAGTATTTGCTTTGTTATAGCGAAAAAACTGCAACGTTTTAGCGAAAAAACGGGTTTGGTTTTTTTTTTGGAAATTCGCGATTTCAGTTTTTGACAAAAAGTGGAATTTTTTCTTTTGGTTTTTTTGCTGTAACTTGGGCAAAAATGGTCCTACACCAAAAATTCATACTGTTTTGAACAGATAACAAAATTTGCTATAAATCCATAAAACTTTCCGTGTAATTTTGGAAAAATAAAATTTTCGCCAATTTTTAATTTTTTTATAAGGGGGTACCCCATGATTTTTTGCGAAAAATTAAAAATGAATAAATTGTCAAGGTTTAAATGCCAATCGTTAGGAAATTTAATAACGAGTTCAGAAAGGTATGACAATCCATACTTTGAATCAGTATTTGCTTTGTTATAGCGAAAAAACTGCAACGTTTTAGCGAAAAAACGGGGTTGGTTTTTTTTTTGGAAATTCGCGATTTCAGGTTTTGACAAAAATTGGAATTTTTTCTTTTGGTTTTTTTGCTGTAACTTGGCCAAAAATGGTCCTACACCAAAAATTCATACTGTTTTGAACAGATAACAAAATTTGCTATAAATCCATAAAACTTTCCGTGTAATTTTGGAAAAATAAAATTTTCGCCAATTTTTAATTTTTTTATAAGGGGGTACCCCATGATTTTTTGCGAAAAATTAAAAATGAATAAATTGTCAAGGTTTAAATGCCAATCGTTAGGAAATTTAATAACGAGTTCAGAAAGGTATGACAATCCATACTTTGAATCAGTATTTGCTTTGTTATAGCGAAAAAACTGCAACGTTTTAGCGAAAAAACGGGGTTGGTTTTTTTTTTGGAAATTCGCGATTTCAGTTTTTGACAAAAATTGGAATTTTTTCTTTTGGTTTTTTTGCTGTAACTTGGGCAAAAATGGTCCTACACCAAAAATTCATACTGTTTTGAACAGATAACAAAATTTGCTATAAATCCATAAAACTTTCCGTGTAATTTTGGAAAAATAAAATTTTCGCCAATTTTTAATTTTTTTATAAGGGGGTACCCCATGATTTTTTGCGAAAAATTAAAAATGAATAAATTGTCAAGGTTTAAATGCCAATCGTTAGGAAATTTAATAACGAGTTCAGAAAGGTATGACAATCCATACTTTGAATCAGTATTTGCTTTGTTATAGCGAAAAAACTGCAACGTTTTAGCGAAAAAACGGGGTTGGTTTTTTTTTTGGAAATTCGCGATTTCAGGTTTTGACAAAAATTGGAATTTTTTCTTTTGGTTTTTTTGCTGTAACTTGGCCAAAAATGGTCCTACACCAAAAATTCATACTGTTTTGAACAGATAACAAAATTTGCTATAAATCCATAAAACTTTCCGTGTAATTTTGGAAAAATAAAATTTTCGCCAATTTTTAATTTTTTTATAAGGGGGTACCCCATGATTTTTTGCGAAAAATTAAAAATGAATAAATTGTCAAGGTTTAAATGCCAATCGTTAGGAAATTTAATAACGAGTTCAGAAAGGTATGGCAATCCATATTTGGATCAATATTTCCATTGTTACGATCAAAAAACGAAGTATTGAAGGCATATTTTGATTATTACTTTCTTTATTTAAACTGGAAAAAAATACATATGATATATGCTACACAACTGAGGCCTTAAAAGATCAAAAATACATAGGCTAGCCAACTGTTTCCCTAGACAACGATATACATATTTACTTGAACAGTTGAAAATCGGTCCGCCCGATTCTCTGCTTCTCCAGCGGCTGTGTGGCCTTGTCAGCTCCTCAATCCGCTCCTGCGCCGCCGGCTCCGTCCACCCGCGGCTCCATCCGCCCCGAGATCAGCCAGCTAAATGCCGCGTCTGACCGGCTTGGGGGCGAAGAGCACCTTGGCCGGCTTGCAGAGCTCCAGCTCGCTGCCGGGGCGAACGGCCAGGCACAGCTGGATCTCCACCAGCGAGGACTCCGTCCAGACGCTGTGCGAGAGCAGGATGGTGGTGCGCAGGCGCACATTCGTCTCGTGCTCGCCCTGCTCCGTCATGATGGGCTTGAAGTCGCTGCGCTTCGGCACCACCGTGTGCATGTGCTGGTCGGGGTACTTGATCTTGATCCGCATGTCCGCCTTCTGCGACTCGAGCAGGTTGTCGATCTCGGCCACAAAGGGAACGGCGGCAATCAGGCCGGCCGTCACCTTGATCACATTGTCCTGCGACTGCAGCGGACAGGGCTCCAGGATGTTGGCCACGCAGCGGCGTATCTTCTCGTTGGCCGGCGGCAGCGCCAGCGGCGGAGCCTGCTGGACGAGCGGCAGGATCTCGCGGAAGACGCGACCCGGCTTGGGATCCGAAATGGCATCCAGCTTGCCCAGCAGCTGGCGGGTGAAGCTGTCCGGCTGGGCAGTGTCCCTGCTGCCGCTGCTGCTGCTGCTGGACTGCTTCTCTGGCTGCTCCAGCGGCGGTTTTTCCTCCTCCTCCTTTGTGTTCGCCTTAATGAACTCGGCAATGTCGCCGGCGGTCTGCAGCAGCATCTGGCAGGGACCCAGGGCGCTCTGCGAGCGATCCCTCACCACGAGCACCAGGTGCAGGGCGCAGGCCCTTAGGCGCAGCTGCTTCACCTGCAGAATGTCGCCGTAGTTGAGGCCCGAGAAGGTGTGCTGCAGCTTGAGGCAGTTGCGGATGAGCGCCGCCAGCGATTCCTTGAGCGGCACGCGGCTCCTCTGCGTGCTGGCGCAGCGCTGCATCTGCTCGATCTGAATCTGGGCAGCCAGGAAGGTCTCCAGGAAGTTCGAGGTGCCGTACATGCCCGCATCGATGGCTCCCAGGCGCTGAAAGCAGAAGAGAGGTGTGAATTTTAGGATATTTTAGGATTCTAAGGCCACAACGAGACAAAACCCACCTGCAGGTTGGACTGGGCCGTCTGGAGCAGCTCCACCCGCTCGTCGGCCATCGTGAAGATCTCCTCGATGTGGCTGAGTATCATCTGCAGGTACTCCGCCGAGCTGCCCGCCTGCCGCATGGCCGAATCGATGCGCGAGGAGGCGCCCTCGATGGGCAGCTGGGGCACCAGATGCGGCATCGAGTCGCGCAGATAGGCGTAGTGCCGGTGCGTCGCCGTGGGCAGCAGACTGATGATGGGCACCAGGTGCTCGGCCGCATTGAAGACCAGGATGAGGACGCACAGGTACGAGGGATCCTCGACATCCCGCTCGGGCGTCTCGAAGAAGGGATGCACGTAGAGCAGGTGAACGGCCACCGCCATCACGAGATGCGGATGCTTCTGGCCGATCTTGCGCATGCAGGCGTACGTGGAGTGCCGATCCTGCGGATACTTGGCCAGCACATCCAGCAGCTTCTGCACCACCATCAGCAGGCACGTTTGCGTGGAGACGCGGCAGGCGCCGAGCATGAGATGCAGTCCCTCGCGCACCTCCACCGAGAAGTCCTCCAGCGAGCCGAGCATGATCTCCAGCTGATCCTCGCGCAGCACAATGTGCCGGGCAATGGCGGTCAGACTGTAGATGGCCTTCAGCCGCACGTCCTCGATCTCGTCGTTGAACATGTCCACCAGAAAGTCCAGGCTGGTCACCGCAAAGTCCGGCCGCGACAAGGCCAACTTGCACATGGAGGCCACCGCCGCGGTGCGCACCTCCAGGAACTCGTCCTCCAGCCCGTGGATGAGGGCGCCGCACGCGCCGCTGGCTATGATCGAGATGCTGCGCGCGTCCAGGTGCTCCTGCGGCGCATCGTCGGCCCAGCGCTTGCCGGAGGACCACTCGCCGCTGGTGACCAGCCGGGCGCCGCGCTCGTGCGCCGTCCGCTTGCGGCGCAGATTGCTCATCAGCTTCTTGTCCAGCGTCTGATGCAGAAACTCCCGGCTGACGGCCGTCATGCCGCCCAGCAGCTCAGCCGCCAGCACGCGTATCTGCAGCGAGAGATCGCACAGCGCCTCGCAGACCTTGCTGAAGGCGGCGTCTATCATGCGCAGCTCCTCCTGCTGGCGATCCGAGGGTATCACGTAGTCCGGATGCCTGTTGCCCAGCATGAAGACCAGGCGCAGCGCCTCCTTCCTCACGCACTCGTAGTCATCCTTCATGGCCTCGACGGCCCGCCTGTAGAGCACCGCCGGCAGCTGGGATCCCCGCTCGCCGAGGGTGAGCAGCGCGTGCAGCGCCTGGGCGCGCACACCCGAGTCCTGCGAGTCAATGTAGAAGGCCAGCTTCCAAACGTAGTGCCGTTCGCCCTCCATTTTGGTGGCGAACCGTCCAATCACCAGCATGGCGTTCTTCTGCGTGTGCGTGGAGCCGGAGCGCAGCTGCTCCTTGGCCAGATGAGCCACCTGTGTGTTGTACGAAATGGGCACTAGGTGCTTCCGCCGCTCGCCAATTCGGAACAAGCACATCATGCCCTGGGCGAGCACCTTCTGGGAGCACTCCTTGCGCAGCAGGTAGATGAAGTAGTCGATGATCAGCGTGACCGCCTGCTCAGTGGCGCACTCGCATCCCAAACCGGAGAGCAGTTCGAGCAGCTTCACCCGGATGGAGGTGTCGCTGTCGCTCGCCTGCAGCTGGTACAGCTGGAAGATCTTGTTGGCCACCTCCTTCAGCTCGGCCAGCTCGACGTCCTCGTAGGATATCTCGTCGGTGATCTTCACCAGCAGCTCCAGCAGTTCCCGGCTATTCTGCGTGGTTGGCGTCGCCACGACGGCGGCGGAGGAGGTTGTGGCGGGGGCAGTGGGAGGAGCAGTTGGTGGCCCCGGCGGGACAGCCGCTGGCAGGCTGCCCACATAGGCGTCCAGTTGGCTGAGCGCCGTCAGCTTGCGCTCCGCATTTCCCGCTTTTCCGGCTTTCCCGGCCTTCGCATCGGCGGCCAGGGTTTGCAGGCGCAGCTTCTTCACCGCCGGCGCCCCGTCCACCGTCTCCACGTAGGAGCCGAAGCGCTTCTTGATGGCCAGCGCCATGGTTTCCAAATGGAGTCGCAGTCTCGTCTGCCACCTGTTGGCAGTTCCCAAGAAATCTGATGAAATCAAAAATCCGCTCCCCGAAAAGTTGTGGTCCGCAAATTAGAGATGGCACTCTGTCGATAGTCTGACGACAGCCGCCGCTAGCGATGGCCTCGTGACAATCGATACTGTCACTACTCAAAACCATTGGGGGGATTCCCCAAACTGTTGAATTGCTGAATTGTTGAAAATTCAACAAATAATTTCAGCAATTAGGGGAAAAATGGTTCCTGTTGAATTTTCAAACAGCTGTTATTTGTTGAAAAATTTCACGGAACTTAAAGCATGTACAATTTTATTTATTATTGCTAGTTACTGTCTAAAATGGTTACCAAGCTAAAAAAAACCACAAATATGCTTTCTAAGTTGATTTTTAAATAAATAATGCATACTGACGATACTTAAACGTTACTGAGTTGCCATGACTTTTAATAAAGAGGTGACAACTCTGGCTTTTCAGCAATTGAAAATTTGTGAAATTTCTGAAAGTTGACTTTGTAACAGCTGATTAACAGCTGACCAAAATTCAACAATTCAGCAATTCAACAGTTTAGGGAATACCCAGAATAGCTCCCATAGACTTATTCATCTACATTTTGGACTCCTTAGCAGTCAATAGTCAATATACTAATTATTTGTCCAATTCCACGTCCAAAAAGGACAGAGGATCCTCCTCACCGACCCTGCTCTTGTTTTTGCAAGCGTAGTTCTTAACGCATCTCATTGCTTTGGACAATACCCTTTCGGAAGGCTCCTTGGTCTCAATTTGACCGATGGCATCTGAAAATGGAAACCAAGTGTTCAAAGAATATCGTAAGCTAGGCCTGAAAACCTACCCATCAGAGCGCGAAACAGATATGTATGGTCCTTCAGTCTTTTCTTGTTCTTCGCTCCGTCAATATTATAGGCTAAAATGATTTCATCGCCGAAAATTAGTCTTATGGTTCGGCTTGCCCTGCCCCGGCTCAACAATTTCTTAATGGACGTGACCTACGAATATGAAAATATAACGATATAAATGTGTACTTTGGGGGGCTAGGTGAAAATGCACATAGATCGTGGAGTCCTGGCTTATCTTCTCGTCCACTTCGACTAGCTCCTCCTCCGTTTTAATGGGGAAATCGTCATCTGCATTGACCGCTAATTCCGGTTTCATCGTCCTGATCGTCTTCTTTACGATGTCCGTAAGCGTAGCTACCGCCTTTGTCAATTGCCGGATTTCTGCGCGCTGGGCCAATACTTCGGTCTGGAGGTCTATTGTTTATTGTATAATATATTGAATTAGCTGAATTACTGCAAACCTACCGCATATCTTTGCAATCAGGAGATCGTTTTCTTCGCCTAGGCTGTGCACGTTTTCGTCGCCAAGGGTGCGAACGCTTTCGATGCGAATCCGTTTGGTCATCGGCCCTGATTCCTTCTTCATTGTGTGCATATTAATACTGATAATATCCCGAGGGCTTGCTCTGCAGTTTGGCAGCTGCAATTCATCGATGCTTCATCATTCCTTTCAGCAAGCAAACAGGGCTGGAGCGATGAAACAGTGATGACAAAAAAAATAAACATTAGAGCGGTTCTTTTCAAAATGTATTCGCATAAATTCGGATGGTCCCCAGTTAAGGCTAACACAAATAATATTCTCTTTTAATTTGTTTCTATACAAATATTTATGTTTTTATAAATAAAATTATAAAAAGCAATACTATCGATATATGGCTGCAGCGCTGCTAGCATTCCTGCGATAGGTGGGTGTACGGGCTAAGTCACATCGAAAATCGAACGATAACTTTTCTGTCATTTCTTAGTACCTTTTTGAGTGCACTACTATTAAATAAAAAAAACATATGTTCCCAATTAATTCATCAAACCAACAATCGTGCGAACAAGTTGTCTGCGGGCGGACGTGGTGCACATTTTGTTTTGTTTTTATTTAGGAAATAACATAACGTAAGCCTGCCACTCATAAGTGTTAAACAAAAAGTTCATAAGCTTTGGCCGATAAAGGGCAAGTGATAAACAAAAACAAAAACAGGAGTGCGAAAGGCGGCGCACACCCACACACATGTGCGATTGGATAACACTGTGAAATAGATCGGGTTTTACTCTTGCAAAAACGATCCAAGCCATTATCGTGATTGTTTTTGTTGCTTTTTTTTTTTATTGCAACGGAGATGCTGCAGCCGGCTGTCTCTCTCGCTCTCAAAGCTTAGCATATGTGGTGCGTGTGAGTGTGTGATGTGATTTAATGCAAAAAGCAACAGCAAAGCAATAAACACAAACTGTGATTGTGGATAAGAGTGAAGAGGGTGAAGGGGGAGGGAGCGGGACAGCTGCTGCAACCATTGTACAAAATGACAATCGTTGGTTTATTGGGATTAATTGTCGACTCTCTGTTTTTAGCCAGACATTCCGTTGAATTCGCCACTTAAACCGGCATTACAACATTGTTGCAACAAATCGCCCGCCCAATTGCAGTGAGTATGAACAAACAACGATAACATAAGCAAAGAACCAAAGAAATACTATTAATTAAACCAAAAACAAAGCTTAACAGTCCTTATCGATAATCAGCGATTGCATACCGATTGCGATTATCAGTGCCAATCGCTTATCAGTCAATTATACCGTTACAAGCACAATTAACCGACTATCTGTGTGCGTGTCGGTGTGCTTTGATTGATATATGTACGAATTTAGATCAACAAACTCTCGCTCTCTGTTACACTATGATATAACAGCTCCCCCGCCCCCTTAAAAAAACACACGCACTAAACGAAAATAATCACTCTCGCTCTCCTGTTTGTTTTTGTAATACACCACAATCACGATTTGACATTTCGTAAACGTGCAACTGTGTGTGTGTGTGGAGCCATAGAAAAGGATGGAGCTCTCTTTGCAGAGATCAGCTGATGAACTGAAGCAACGGTTAATGCCATATGTCCATGCAAATATACAGAGAGAAAAAATTAATTGACTTCCTATTTTGTATACATTTACTTACAATTGGCAAGAACCGCATATTTTAAAAATGAATAATAAAGCTGAATCAGTAGTCTCTCAGCATGTTGATCTTAAAATTCGACTTAATTATTATAAATAATTTAGTATGTAGATATTTTGCTGATTAATCGCTCGCTACATAATAGAGCTAACAAAGAGTTTTTTCCAAATCTTTGCTGATTCATCGTGTAACCCTAGCTTTAAAAAAAGAGAATGGATATTTATTAAAAAATAATCCCCGTCTATTTTCTCTGTGTACGCATAATGCAGGCGACTAAAAGCGAGAGTGTCAGAGATAGAGGTACAACCGGTTTGTTCGCTTATCAGAGGCGCAGTCAAGGGGGTCTAATTCACACCACCACCGAGAATTCCCAAATATATTATATAGGAGGAGGATTCCGAAGAAACCAAACAAACCACAGCCTTTAAAACAATGTTATCTAAAAGCAAATGTTCTTATCAAAGTCATTATTAATTAATCTGCATATCTGTACATTGTACATTATATTAGTACAAAGAAATGAATTTCAAGTGATAAAATATTTAAATTTTAAATAATAAAACAAAGTTATCAAAATGATACAATCCTCATATTTCATCAAAAACCCCCATCAACATTTTATCTGCCCCGCCCATGTTCAATAGGTATTGCAAAATCCAAAAAACATTGCTGCATCCAAGAGTAGCAATTATGTATTGTATGTTCTCTTTGAATGGGTTATTTTGAAAGTCTCCGCGGGTTTCCGTATCGATCTTTGGCTGCCTAGAAATACCGCAACATAGCTAATTTTCCTTTCGTTTGGGCCAAATACGAAAAAAGAGGCAAACCAACCAACCAGTTAACCAGTTGTGCCAGTCCAGTTCAGTTGGATAATTATTGAGTCCATCGCTCCAAGGCTAAAGCATTCCATTCCCCACCAGATCTCCACATCAAGAGGTTTTAACTGTGCACTTTGCTACCTATTTTCATAAAGATTTCGCCGCTTAGAATACGAAGAATTCCAGCAAAACGGGTTTCTATCGCGATTGTATCTAAGCACTCGACTGCGGTTTTGGTTTTTATTTTATTTTTACGGATGAGATTATTTACGAGTACAAAAAAAGGGGAGGAGTACGTGTTTTAACTATTCAATGAAAGCTTGTTGGCGTTCTTCCCCGCAGTTTCAATAAATTATTAATTATCAGACAAAAATACAATGTTAATGCAAGCTGGGAATGTTATGAAAAACAAGATTACGTTGTGTTTTGAGATTTTATTTAGTGTGACAAGTGGGTTTTTACCAAAATGCACGCGAACAACCCCAATACCCATTATATTTATTATCATCACTTGGGATCCTTTTGAGGTCTTTCAGTGGTAGCCCAAGTCCTTGACCCTCGACCGCACTTCCCGCGATATCTCAGCTGGCTTTTTGCACTTTGCATGCCACAAGTGGCTCGACTCGAACATGTTTTCCTGATTACTTTGTAATATGTGGTCTCGCACCACCACCTTATCACTCGACTACGATATGAACTACGAATGCGGTGAACCACAGAGACAAACAAAAGTAAAAAAAAAAGTTCCCAGCTCGATTCGTCTGTTTCAATTCAGGTTCGCAGTGTTCCCATTCGCAGAAGTGGAACAACAGTTGGAGGAGTCGTAAGCGCCCCCCATTACAATCCAGGTTAATCCAAGGTCAGACGTGCGTTTGGGGTGGGGGAAAGTGGGCGTCGCAGTTTCCCCCTTATCCGGTGGGTGGGGCACGCGGAGCAATGTCTGGTATTTTCATTTCACATTCCCCATTTCACAGTTCGCATTTCGCATTTAGCATTCCCTTCGAAGATGTGAAAGGGAAAGGGCGGAGGTTGGATTGTTCGGAGATTGACTTTCTAATTGAAATATCGCTTTGAATGGGATTTTTGGGTTGGGCAGAGCTTGACCCAAGGCTCACGTTAAATGGAAAAAATATATAATTATTAAGAGTTTTTTTTTTACACCTACAAAGAGTGGCAATAACCTATCGCTAGTTTTTTTCTTAACTATATTTCAACTATTACAAGTTAGGATTAATGGTTAAATGGAAAAAATATGTAATTTTTAAGAGTTTTTTTTTGTAAACCTACAAAGTGTGGCAATAACCTATCGCTAGTTTTTTTCTTAACTATATTTCAACCATTACAAGTTAAGATTAATGGTTAAATGGAAAAACTATATAATTTAAAAAAAAAAAAATTTTTTAAACCTACAAAGTGTGGCAAAAACCGATCGCTAGTTTTTTCCTTAACTAAATTTCAACTATTACAACTTAAGATTAAATGCTGTCCCCATTACTGCTATTATTTTGACCGCCTTTGTAGCCATTCATATCACTTACTTGTATACCCACATTGTTTTATAGTTCACTTACCAGTGGCAAAGATTTAATGCGACTTTCACTCCGTTCTCTCTCCTTCGCAGTCATTAATCGCGAATTCGCAGTGGGAAGACATCAGCAGTTATGGACCACGCCCATCATCACGGTGGGTTTGGAACTCAGGAAAAAACCCTGCTGATTCCTAATAATCCCTTATGATCCACAGATCATATGCACCACGCGGCAGCGATGGAAACCACCTCGCCCAGCACGGCCTTGAATGACATGATTCCCGACGACAGTGATTTGCAAGCAGCTCTGGCGGGCGGTCACGGTCACGATCACATGAGTCACGAGCACATGGGTCACGGAATGGGTCACCACGGTGGCTCCGGCACGGGAATGGAGCACATGATGCCCATGGCGGTAGGATAAATGATTTGCTAGTGAAACTCACTTGATTTTCCCGATATCACCCACAGTTCCACTTTGGCTACAACGAGACGATCCTCTTCTCCTGGTGGCACATCGAAACGGTGGCCGGTTTGGTGGGCTCCATGATCGCCATCTTCCTGCTGGCCCTGATGTACGAGGGCCTCAAGTACTATCGGGAGTATCTGTTCTGGAAGACGTACAATCTGCTGGAGTATCGCCCGGTGACGGGGCCCCAGAGGAACCCGGAGGCGCCGCGGATTCCCTCGCCGGCGGCAGCGGCTCCCTCGCCCGTGCAGTGAGTTGTGGGGATTTGCCTTAGAGATAACCGCCTTTTTAAGAAGTTACTGCATGCTTTCTGCCCTTAGCTTTGTATCTCTGCGTATTTCGTTCTGTATATATTAATCTTAATGCCTTCTTCTTTCTTCTCGTTTCGTTTTCGTTGCGCCGTTACCCGTTAAATCGTACAAATCCTGCTCTCCATCCAATATCTACATTGTATCTACATTATATCTACATATCATCACAACGCGTCGCTCTTCATTTGTAAATTGATCCATCCAAAAACGCTAAACTCATAACGCTACGCCGCTCTGCCTTTTTGTATAATTGATTCTGTGATTCACGCGATCGTAATCGAAACTATATCTATATATATTGTAACTCAAATCTGATTCTGTATCTGCATCCGCAATCGTGATACCTCCCCCGGCACGCTTCGATCGAACCTTTTTTAGATACGTGGGCGAAGTTGTGCACAAGCAACCGTAAGTATCGCTCCATTTCCCCACCACTTGACCACTTGACCACCTGTATAATTTTGTATGCCTCACTTGAGTTTGCGTTAATTTCCTACGACGTTTGGCTATCCGATATGTCCGTTAATGAGAACTTGCAAGCTGCAACACCTGTGCTCCATTTGCGTATCGGCTGGCAAATTGCCCCGTAATTTGTACAGATATCTGGACCAAAAGATATAGTATTACACTTGGTTACACACCTGTAAACAGCACACACAGTAGTTGAGTTCAGTAGAGTCTAGAGTCTAACCCTAATTTATATATTCAGTAGTTTAATCTAACCCTTAGAGCAGGACAACCGCCCACCGAGAAACCGAAGGATTACAGCGCTATATCTTTATGTTCTGTAACGTTTTGTTCTGTTCTGTTCTTTGATTTTTGTGACGTTCAGTTGTGTACTTTCTGTTGTCCTGCTAATTTTGTCCGATACACTATAATACTATCTTGTTGTATTCTATAACTAAGAAAATCTCTTTCGATGAACAGACCTTCGATGCTGTCGGTTAACCACCTGCTCCAGACGCTGCTGCACGTGCTCCAGGTGACCCTGTCCTTCCTGCTCATGCTGATCTTCATGACCTACAACGTGTGGCTCTGCCTGATGGTCGTCCTGGGCGCCGCCGTGGGCTACTTCCTCTTCTGCTGGAAGAAGTCGGTAATCGTGGACGTCACCGAGCACTGTCACTAACAGAGGACCGCCGGAAGCCTCAGCCGGCGATGTCTCACGGCGGAGGAGGCGGAGGCAGAGGAGCAGCTGTCCATCTGAACGGAAGGCGGAGGCGTTGGTGCTAGGCTTACCACCGGAATCACCGGAAGCTCGCGGCCCCACAGAAAACCCCACACACTTCAACACACACCCCCTGCCACTTGCTATTCTCTATAACTACTCCTAAACTCTTTAAGATTTTGTAAGTCGAAAGTGTAAAGTACGCAAGAGAGAACAAATTGAGCGACTGGCGAGCGAATTGTATAAAGTTAAGCAATGTTAGTACTCAATCTATGTCGCAGGATTCCCCGAAAAGCAAATACTTTTTTTTTATCATTATTATTATACACCATTTTGTATCCCTATTATACGATCATGATTATTATTATTTGGTAAATAAAATCCAACCTCTTTTATATTTCGCTCTTCTTTGTTAAAACCAAAAAAAAAAGACATGTTTGTTAAATTCGGCCTTCTTGTGAAATAATGTTGAACCAGCCGCGAATGTTGTAAGGTTTGAAGATGTGCTTCAACAGTGCGTTTCACAAGTGTAATTTGGTTACGGAAAAGATTGAAAGCCGCAGAAAACAATCCATTTAACATGGTTGGCATTGATTTACGCTTGCATTTACGTGTTGTTTAAACAACTGATATTACTTTAGGCTCGAAAATTGTTTCAGTCGGTGACTCTATTAGCTAATTCATTTGAACAGACTTTTAATTGTTGTCTGTTCTTCAAACTGACTGTTTGGCTCACTTCATTTTTGCTCAACTTAAAAATTGACTTTGTAAATTTCTCTCAAAACTACAGAAACTGACTTCCAAAGCGGCCACTTATACTGCCTTATGGTCCCGAAACGCACTGTATCTAGCATATGTTCACTCACTCGATCAGCATGCATAAATAGATGTTGTAGATATTAAAATTAAAGCAAATACATACAGTAAAACGGCAACAAATTTATAAATATTATTAATATTAAATCTATCTATACATTAATAAATGTACAAACAGAATATTGTTATAACTGAAAAGGAGAATGACTTTAAAACGGGAAGTGTTGGGAAATTAAGCAAGGTTTTTTAATACAAAAATTTAAGAAGATCGTAAAAAAATTCTTAAAAAATCATACTTCCAGAATTCAACACACTTAATTTATTTACCCAAGGTAGAGTTAAAAAAACCACACTTTCGATTTCGTTTTCGGAATTTACTTTGATCTTTATTAGAAAATTATTGCGAGTCTCTCAATAGAATGTTGTATCCTTACTCATATCGTAATTCATAATTAAAAACATCTTTACATGACTACAGGCGATCGATCAAATTTTATTGACTGGTTACACTATACTTAATTCTGCATTCGTAAACGTTTTTTTTTTTTAACTTTTGCTTGCCCGATGGGAGTTCAATTCAATTGATTAATTTGCTAGGTGATCGTAGTAAACAAAATAGGGGGTGATGGGGATTAGTGGATAGGAACTAGGGGTTACTAAGGGGGCATATGAAGTCCTCGCAGGCAGGGAGGATAAAGGGAGCTGATCCTGCGAGGACACAAAACTAAAGCGGCCCATACATTCGTATATATGTACGGTTCGAAGGGTTAAATATTATTAACTGATTAACTGACAACCCGCGCGTGTTCGCTCGATTACGATATCAAGACTGATCGAAGGATGGGTAATGGATATTGGAGTTATATAGTATATAGTTATAAGTAGATGAGAGAAATGGAAATTCACCTCGTCTGTATTGTATCATGCCTAATACAGTTCTACACGAGTGTCTCTCTCTGCCTTCTCTTTCACTCTTCTCTCTCTCATTCTCTGATCACTGATCACTGATCGTTCGTTGATCGCCGATAGCTGATTGCTGGTTGCTGATGATCGATGATTTCTGGATTTCTGGTTATCGGATAGTGGATTTCGCCTTGTCTGTCGTGAAGAAACATTTATGTGGGGAGGTGTGGCATAGAAGTTACCTGGTTGGTTCTTCTTTCTCTATATATATATCTCTCTCTCTCTCTTTTTCCATTTATATATATCCCTCTCATTCATTTCTATATATTTTCGGGTTCCGTTCTTCAGTTGGCGGCTCCTGCAATGTGTTTGCGGAAGGAAAAAGAGTTAGTTAAGTGAGCCAGACCAAAAGTTCGAGGAGGTATAAAAGTGGGTAGCGCATCTTAGTCTAAATTTCGAGCTGATCGTGTGTGGTTTATTTATTTATTATTATTTTTTGTGGCACGAACAGTTGAGAACATACATCTACGAGGGGTTCTTTTAGCTCTGAACAGAGATTGAACCGCAAGAATAGGCTTAATCAATGTGATTATTTAATTTTCGGGGTCGGGGGTCAGTCACAATTTACCTGTTGGTGAAGAGGAGGGGGGAACATGAACATACACTTGTGTATGGGTTTAGGAACTCTCGAACTCGAACTCGAACTCTCTCGCCCTCTCTGTCTGTGCTCTGTTTGCTGTCTCCCTCTGCTCTCTGCCTATGCTTGTTTTTATTTTATTTATTTTTTTTTTTTTTTGATTATAATTTAATTTAGTTTAGCAAAATCAATTACCTCGTGGTTTTTCGTGGGTGTCTTGGAATCTTGGCTTGAAGATTTCGCTGGGGTTAGTTTTTTTTTTTTTTTTTGTAATCTTAAGAAATACCATAGTGCAGGGGGGATGGGAGGGGCATAACACCACAACAATGAGAGAAGGATACAAAAAAAAGGAATATGTAGAGCTACGACGGCAAGCCGAAGCCTCGAGATCCCCTTCCAAGGGAATAGTTCTCTAAACTCGTAATATTCTAATGTAAAATGGAGAAATTTAATTTGATTTTTTTCTTTTTTAAGTTTAAAAATTTACAAAATGTTTTAAAGAACTGGGAGCAAATAATTTAAATATTTTTAGAATCGGACTCTTTTTAGGGATAGCTATCTTTGAAAGCTTCATCCTTGGAAAGGGACTTTCGGTGGTTTAATTTCATCGATTGATCAAATGTACCTCTCTCTCTCTTTTTCACGCCCATAGTCCGTCACTTTCTCTCTTTTTCGGGATTTCCGTTTTTCCTGTTACAAGGCACTACGACTACGTACCTCTTCTTTGAAACTTTGGAACTCGAAACCCTTCCCATAGCACACAAATGACCCAGCAACCCAGTCGCCAAGCCAAGCCAAAAAGCACATGCAGTACGAGTCTCTCTCTCTAAGTCTCTATATATATTACTATATATACATTTATCATTTATGGGTCTTGAGGTTTGAGGTGTGTGTGTGTGGGGGGGGTGGTGTGCGGATTGGGGATTGCATGAAATGCGTGGATCTGTTTCTGTTGGGTTAGTTAAGCGCATAGAGATAACAGTAAGGCTTGGTAAATACCTGTTTCAGTCACTGTCCCACTCCCAATTGCAAGGGTAGCGTCCGTATCGCCCTAATCCCCCGACTATCTCCTGGTCTTAGCGAGTATAAATGGAATATATAATGGAGTATATATCTGAACACTTGGAAAAATATAATAGCGAATTTTATGGATAAAAGAATAGTTGATCTATAAGCTATGGAACATATATCACCAACTGAATAAAGCTTGTTCAACTCCTCTAATATTTATTTAATTTCTCACTATCCTTTATATGTTTATTTAAAAACTTTTAAAGTTATAGATTTGGATATAAACAAAAAATAGTATGAGTTTAGGATAAGTTATAAAAAAAACTAAAGAAGTAATTTAAAATACGTTTTAGTAACCCATTCCCTATATACTACATTTCGTTGGTCCGTCTGTCCACTTAACCTTCGTGAAATCCTCGATGGATCGCAACCCAACTGGGTACACAGATAGAGATCGATATGGTATATATACGAGTTATGGCACGAAAACGAGTATGTCTACGGAGTGTGGAGTGTTTCGCTTTACGGGTCTATCAAGTGTGTTCGACTCACCTCAGCGCACTCGATCTGCCAGCTCGGAAACTGTTTCTTTTAAACTGTTTTTTTTTGATACATATTATTTTGGAAATTGTGTTAATGATTTTTTGTTTTTTTTTTTGGGGGGTACCTCGATGCTGCCGTTTCTTGCCCAGGCAGCAGCTGCTTACTGAAGATCTTGATCGTATATATGTATATATATTTTGCGGGGCTTTGGGAACTGCTCCTGACTTTCTGCTTATGTGGTGCTTGCTTTTCACTTGGTTTTCATATATTTTTGGTCTCTAGTAGCGGCTGCGACTCCGGCTGCGGCAATGTCGCTCGCGGCTGTCGTGGCGGTAGTGATTATGATTGTGATTGTGGTGGCTCCGGTTGCTTCGGTTGCCACCGCCGCCTCCACCTCCTCCGCCGCCGCCACTCCGCGAGTACGAGTGATGGGAGCTGTGGTGCGACTTGTGGTGATCTGGAACAAACAAAAGGCCGAGTTAAATCAAGTCCAGAGTGCCGTGTGCAAGGGCAAAGCTCGAAACTTACGGTGACGCCGATCCGAGGGCTGGCGATTCTGGACGTAGTCGCGACTTCGCTCTCGGTACTCGTTGCGCGGCTCCCTGAAAGGATTCCCAAAGAGATAATCAGCAATTAGATACTTAAACATTTAACTATTCAATACAATATAGAACATTCTATGACATCACATGGTCTGGCAATAGAATCTAGTCAATTTCAGTAGCCAAGTGATAAAATAGACGCATTACTCATAGTCACATTGAACGGCAGAATGCCAAATTTTGTTGTAATTAAGTAGAAAAAGCAAACAAATGGGATGTAGCTGGATTGCAGACTATGTAGCAAACATAATTGATATATATTACTAGCTTAAAGCCTCTTAAATCTATTTTAAATCCTCACCGTCGGTTGTCGTAGGAGTGGAAGCGCTGAACGCGACCCTCGCGCCGCCGTCGATCCTCCTGCTCGCGCTCCTTCTGCCGCGCATCGTTGATCTCGGCGACGGCGTTGCGCAGCTTGGAGTAGCCCAAGTGCTGTTTGCCCATCAAATGGTCCTCGATCCGCTGCTGGGCATCGCCGACGATCAGAAAGGCGCCGCAGATCTCGCACACCTTCATCTGTTTCTCGGGCAGCGAGTCGTGCGACCAGCCAGCCGTTTTGTTCTCGCTTTTGTCTGCTTTATCCTCGGTTGCAGCGGTTGTAGCGGTTGCCTCGCCCTCGCCCGCTTCCGCCGGAGTGGCTTCTCCTGCAGAACTGGGAGCAGCCTCCGGAGGCTCGTCACTGGCGGGGGTGGCAGGAAGTGGGGTGGCTAGCGGCTCCTCGCTGGGACTCGAGGCCCCCGGACTGCTGGGCAGTTGCTCCTCCGGCTTGTTCAAACTAATCCCACTGATGGCCTTGTTATTGGCCTCGTGCTGCTGCACCAGCTGCTCCTTCTCCTCCTTCAGCTCCTCGCAGAGGGTCATCAGATCCTGGGCCTGGTCGACGTCGCCCCGAATGCCCGCCTCCTCGGCCTCGGAGAGCAGCTTGCTGATCCTCGCGTTCAGGTTGGCCAGCTGCTCCTGGTGCCGGCTGAGCGGAGCCGGGGCATTCGGCTGATCCCGCTGCATGAGCAGCAGGCGCTGCTTGCCCTTCTGGATCTTCCTGTCGACGTCGTGCAGCATGACATTGCAGAAGCGCAGGAACTCGTCCTCGTACTGCCGCTTGCGCTGCGAGGGACGGGCCTCCTCGTAGAGATGGCGGGCCTCCTCGTCGTGGATGCGGGCACAGGGACCCAGATCCGCGCGGGTATTGATGAACAGATCGTGCGGGCAGAACTTGACGTTGTAGAACTGGCAGAACTGCGGGCGGAATATAGGAATTACTGAGGGACGGCCCCTTTTGCATGCAAACTCACCTCGGGATCCTCCCAGTTGACCTTGGCGCCCGCCTCCGAGGGATGCAGGTTGCGGTTCCTGCCCATCAGCTCGTCGAGCATTTGCCTGGCGGCGTCCACCATTTCGGGAATCTCGAAAAACTTGCGCTGGGAAAATCTCCCTCTCTCAACTCCAAAAAACGGGGGGTGCACCCAGAAACTGGGCTCCAGCGACTCCAGGGGCGCCGCGCACCGGGTTTCCTGGCCTGGCGGACAGCTGCAGCCACTCAACGCACGTGCAGCGTTGCGAAACACGTGTTTGTTGGCTGTTTAACCGACAAATTCGCCAAAATAGAATCAATAAAATTATTTCACAAAATTCGTGGGCTATCGATAGCTTTCTTTATGTTTTCGATATTATCTTCTTTTCAAAGCAGTTTCTTTTTCGATTTTAGCAAGCAGTGCTTAGCTATCGGTATCGGCTATTTGAAAAGAGGCGCCAAATAATTTAGTATTTATTTAATTCATATTATATTTAATGTTTCTAGAAATTTTAAAGAGGAGTTTAATTCATTAATATCATTAGGGGTATTTTGATGCACATACATTTATCTTGAGAAAGTAGTTTTAGAGCTCTTGTTTTTTGAAGATATTCTAGATTTTAATTAAAAAATGACAAAATTTTAGAGCCAAACATACATACATTTATCTTAAGATCTATCTGTCAAGCTTTTTTGAAATGTAGTTTTAGAGCTCTTAGTTTTTGAAGATATTCTAGATTTTATTAAAAAATGACAAAATTGTAGAGCCAAATCCTTATATTCTCCTTAATTCACACTTATTGTTATATCCGACAAGCATGTAAATTGAAGATTACCTATGCTTGAAAACTGAATTCAAAAGGGCGAATAAATAAATAAAGAGGTATATAAAAATGAAAATGCCTTAATTTTAGGGTGACCAAAATGCAACTGAGACCCTAGCGAAGTGGCATCCCCGGGGACCAGCGTTGCCACCCCCTCGCAACTGTCAGAAAAAGGCGCCAAAAGTTGGCCAAGCACGCAGCTGTAAACATTCGCGAAAAGCAAACCGAAACAAGCGCCTTTCCCGCCGTTCATTACCCAGTTTAGAGCAAACATCGACCCGAAATGGATGTGGCAGATGCTCAGGTCGGCCAGCTGCGCGTCAAGGACGAGGTGGGCATACGGGCGCAGAAGCTGTTCCAGGACTTCCTCGAGGAGTTCAAGGAGGACGGCGAGATCAAGTACACGCGACCGGCGGCGAGTTTGGAATCCCCTGATCGCTGCACCCTGGAGGTGAGCTTCGAGGATGTGGAGCGGTACGACCAGAACCTGGCCACGGCCATCATCGAGGAGTACTACCACATCTACCCGTTCCTCTGCCAGTCCGTTTCCAACTACGTCAAGGATCGCATTGGGCTGAAGACCCAGAAGGACTGCTATGTGGCCTTCACGGAGGTGCCCACGCGGCACAAGGTGCGCGATCTGACCACCTCCAAGATCGGCACCCTCATCCGCATCTCCGGCCAGGTGGTGCGCACCCATCCCGTCCATCCGGAGCTCGTTTCGGGCGTCTTCATGTGCCTGGACTGCCAGACGGAGATTAGGAATGTGGAGCAGCAGTTCAAGTTCACCAATCCCACGATCTGCCGGAATCCCGTCTGCTCCAATCGCCGCCGCTTCATGCTGGATGTGGAGAAGAGTCTGTTCTTGGACTTCCAGAAGATTCGCATTCAGGAAACGCAGGCGGAGCTGCCGCGCGGCTGCATTCCGCGCGCCGTCGAGATCATCCTGCGCTCGGAGCTCGTGGAGACGGTCCAGGCGGGCGATCGCTATGATTTCACGGGCACTCTGATCGTCGTGCCCGACGTGAGCGTGCTGGGAGGAGTGGGCACCCGGGCGGAGACCAGTTCGCGGCACAAGCCGGGCGAGGGAATGGAGGGAGTGACCGGGCTAAAGGCCCTCGGCATGCGGGAGCTCAACTACCGCATGGCCTTCCTCGCCTGCAGCGTTCAGGCCACCACAGCGCGCTTCGGTGGCACCGATCTGCCCATGTCCGAGGTCACGGCGGAGGATATGAAGAAGCAGATGACGGACGGCGAGTGGCACAAGATCTACGAGATGTCCAAGGACCGCAATCTCTACCAGAATTTGATCAGCAGTCTCTTCCCCTCGATCTACGGCAATGACGAAGTGAAGCGCGGGATTCTTCTGCAGCAATTTGGCGGCGTTGCCAAGACCACCACCGAGAAGACCTCGCTGCGCGGCGATGTAAACGTGTGCATTGTGGGCGATCCCAGCACGGCCAAGTCGCAGTTCCTCAAGCAGGTCTCCGATTTCTCGCCGCGGGCGATCTACACCTCTGGCAAGGCCTCCTCGGCGGCGGGACTCACGGCGGCGGTGGTGCGCGACGAGGAGTCCTTTGACTTTGTCATCGAAGCGGGCGCCCTGATGCTGGCGGACAATGGCATCTGCTGCATCGACGAGTTCGACAAGATGGACCAGCGCGACCAGGTGGCCATTCACGAGGCCATGGAGCAGCAGACCATCTCGATAGCTCGCGCCGGCGTTCGGGCCACTCTGAATGCCCGCACCTCCATTCTGGCCGCCGCCAATCCGATCAACGGGCGCTACGATCGCTCCAAGAGCCTCCAGCAAAATATACAGCTATCCGCGCCCATTATGTCGCGCTTCGATCTGTTCTTCATCCTCGTCGACGAGTGCAACGAGGTGGTGGACTATGCCATCGCCCGCAAGATCGTCGATCTGCACTCGAACATCGAGGAGTCCGTGGAGCGGGCCTACACGCGCGAGGAAGTGCTGCGCTACGTGACCTTTGCGCGGCAATTCAAGCCGGTAATTGGAAAGGAGGCGGGCCGGATGCTGGTGGAGAACTACGGGCATCTGAGGCAGCGGGATACGGGCACCTCGGGCCGGAGCACCTGGCGCATCACCGTGCGGCAGCTGGAATCGATGATCCGGCTGAGCGAGGCCATGGCCAAGCTGGAGTGCTCGAATCGGGTGCTCGAGCGGCACGTGAAGGAGGCCTTCCGGCTGCTCAACAAGTCGATTATACGCGTGGAGCAGCCGGACATTCACCTGGACGACGACGACGCCGCCGACGAGGGACTGGAGATGGACCTTCAGCAGCAGGACATCGATATGGAGAACAATGGGGCGGCGGCGAATGTGGATGAGAGCTTGGATACAGAGGGTGCTACGCAGCGGGAGCAGAAGAAGAAGTTCACGCTGTCGTTCGAGGACTACAAGAACCTCTCCACCATGCTCGTGCTGCACATGCGCGGCGAGGAGGCGCGCTGCGAGGTGGAGGGCAGCGACACGGGCATCCGGCGCAGCGACGTGGTCACCTGGTATCTGGAGCAGGTGGCCGAGCAGATCGAGTCCGAGGACGAGCTCATCTCGCGCAAGAACCTCATCGAGAAGCTGATCGATCGGCTGATCTACCACGACCAGGTCATCATTCCGCTCAAGACCTCCACGCTCAAGCCGATGGTTAAGACGATTCCGGAGGACGAGCAGGCCGAGGACGATCCCCTGCTGGTCGTCCATCCCAACTACATTGTGGAGTAGTTAAACTAGTTACGTTTCTGTTGCCACATGCTTTTTTTTGGTCACCTAATCTTTGTATTTTTCTACTTAGCCGTAAGTTTAGAGCCTAGAATTCCAAATCATTCATGTTTTCGCCTAAATAAACGTTCATCTCAAGTTTAGCTGCGTTTCTTGTTATTTTTGGGAACTAATCATCGCTTTACCTTAAATAAGCCATGTTTTTCACGCTGTTTCCCTTATTTTTTAAATGTTAGGCTGCAAAAAATCCATGTTTTTCTATTTAGCTGTAAGTTAAGAGCCAAATCATTCATGTTTTCGCCTAAATAAACGTTCATCTCAAGTTTAGTTGGGTTTCTTGTTACTTTTACTCCAAACAATCCTTGTTTTTCAAGTTGTTTCCTTTATTTTTCGGGACCATTGGCTAGTTATCCATATTTTCTTTTCAATTTAATTGTACAGATGCGTTGATAGATGGCCTATGAACTAAAAACGAGGCCATCCTACTTCTCGAACGTGTAGTGCTTCCTTCCGTCGCCCGGATATTGCTTGGCGGCCACCGGGCGGTACATCTTCTTGTCCTCCAGCCAGTAGTAGAGGGCCAGGCAGCCGGACATGACGCCCAGGAAGCAGACGAAGTAGTAAGAGTTCTTGTAGCGCGGCTGTTCCGCCTGCGAGTAGCGATCCTCGCTGTACAGATCGTGATTGGCAGAGATCTACGAAGGGGGAATTCGAATTTAGTAGGTATCTATGGATCTAGAAACCAGTAGATCCCCTTTACCGGCTCGTGCTGGTTGCGCTTGTGCTCCGGATAGTCCCAGGGATAGTAGTTGTCCTTGGCCTCCACGCCCAGGCCGCCGCCCACCTGCGGATAGTCGCCGTAGCCCAGGCCGTCGTCCGCGTAGGGTTTGTACTCCTCCGGCAGGAGGTAGTACTTCTTGGCCGCCGCCAGGCGCTCCTTCTCCGTCTGCGGATAGGGCGCCGGCTTGTAGTCCTTGTTCCAGCCAGCCACTGAAGGAGAAAATCGGGTTATTAGCTGGTTTTAGTCCGCATACAAGAGTTACGTAAACAAAACAGGGGAGCACCGGATTGCTGGTCTCCTGGCTCTCCCCCCACTGCCACTTACTGCTCCTGACCGCCTGGCGAGCCACGGCGGGATTGGCGGCGCACAGCTTTTGGGCCAGGGCCACGGTTTTCACAAACGCCGACATTGCTGGCTCGCTTCAAAATAAAAAGTTACAAATTTATTTCCGATTCCGATTTCAGCAGAAACAGCTGTTTGCCTGCCGATGCGCAACAATCGTGCTTGGCCAGCGTGAGCTATCGATAGTTGGCGAGCGATAGTTATAGCGCGTGCAGAAAAGTTTAGAAATTTAGAATACAGTAAAAGCTTAGTGTTCTCAGGTATTTTACACCAAAATACATGTGAATTTGATTGAAATCATTTAGAATGCTGCTTTATTTTTTTATAACTAGTTTTCATAAAATGGAACTTTACCAACTATCGATGCCACCTATCGATACTCGCATTCTGCACCCGCGCCTCGAAGTTTTGTTGTTGTTTTTTGTTGTTGTTGTGGTGGGCTCGTCCGCGAAAGATCACTTGGCAAACTTAATTTATTTATTAACTACCGATCCGACTAAGAAATAAGCATAAAGATGGTGCTACCGTTATTGCAGCGTTCCAGCCTTCGCGGCGTTCAGCAGATAACGAAACCATGGGCTGCCATCGGAAGTTTGCGTCTGGTAAGGAATCGAAAGTATATATTGGATATATATTTCCCTTGGATATGCCAGATAAAATGGGCCTTATGTAACTCTTGTTTCGCTCGTAAACCGCCTAAAAAGTGCAAAAAATGCATTTATTTGTAAACATAACAAGAGTCGTAAAGAAGTGCAAAGGAAAATGCATAAAAACCGAAAACCGGCGTTTCGTAATCGTCGTTATACAATGGAAAGTGGAAGTGACCGCCTTCCAGCCACTGGAATACTGGATTACCGATTCCACACAACTTCGACCACTTGTGGACAAACTCCAATTGGAAGCGGCTTCATTGATTTTTCCGCTCAATTTTTCGCACGTTTCTTTTTTTTACTTCTTTAACTCGCACTCAAATCACATGATAGAAAAACAAAACCAAAACAAACTCACACCGCGATAAAAAAACCCACGAAACGAGTTGTAATTCAAGAAATTGTGCTGCTCAGCAAATTCTTGTTTTCGGCAATTCAATTAAAACCGGTTAATTTTCATATATTCGTAGGCTTGGTTATATCCATTTGACGACCACTGTAATACACTCCCCTGGTACTTTTGATAATTCAGATAACTAACTATATGGTAGAACCAGATAGTAGGGATAGTCGGTCATAAATAACACCCATAAACCCAAGGAATATCACACTGGTGGTCAAAGTTATAGCATCGAAAAGAAAAAGATTTCAAACTATTAAATTATATTCAAAAATTCAAAAAAGCTTTTTATAAACTTGGTACCCAAATTCCAGATTTGTAGAAGTATCTGGAAATATGGGATTTGCATACTGCTTAATTGAGGGAATTTTTATTTTATTATTTAGAATCCTAAAAGTTTCCAAGTTCTGTAACATTTTTAATATTTTTTTAAATTTTTGTCAATAATCAATAATATCAATAATTTAAAAAAGCTATCAATAAACTTGGTACCATAATTTCAGATTGTAGAAATGTCTAGAAATATGGAATTTGCATACAGCTTAATTAAGAGAATTTTTTTTATTATTTAGAATTCTAAAAGTTTCCAAGTTCTGTCAGATTTTTCATATTTTATTATTATTATTTAGTTTTTTAATAGAAATTCTATGCCTACCAGAAAGTTATCTTTTCTTTGAAATCTCCTTGGTTAATTTTAAGTTTCCATTACTATTTATGTGCTCTGTGCTGTTTGTTGTGTGCCAAAGCGCAGCTGATTAGCAAAGCACCCCATGCCAAGTAGGGTCTTCAGAATTCCGAATTCCGTATTCAGTCTTCCCCCTCTTTTTACACCTCCACCGCCACAATTCCCTATACTTTTCGTTGAGAGCGCTCTTTCAAGAATCTCACACTCGGGTTTCAGTTGGATTTTCTATAGGGTAGAGTCGGCGCCCGGTCTTATCGCCTCAGTTAACTTTGAGCAGCAGCCGTCGTCGAGTGTCGAGTCCTCTGATTTCGGGTTCTCAATTGCGATTGCTCCGTTCTGATTATCTGCCATCTATCTCACCTAAAATGGTCATATACACATTCGTTATAGGCCCCTCTTTTAATCTGGTAATTTTCCCCAACAGGCCTCCCAGGAATTTCGCGTGGAGAGCGACACCTTTGGTGAACTGAAGGTTCCGGCGGATAAATACTATGGCGCCCAGACGATGCGATCCCAGATCAATTTCCCCATCGGCGGAGCCACCGAACGGATGCCCGTAAGTATTCCCATTCCCCTTAAAATATAATCCCCATCGTAACTCTCAAAAAGTAATTAACTCACGTCGTTGTGACAATTAAAAGTTGTTTATCTAACATGATGGAAGATTTGCAAAACAAATGGGTTCTATCATTACTTACTAGAATCTCCAATTCATTGCTTGCCTTTTTTTTTTAAGATTCCAAATGGAAAAACACAAGTATCAATCATTTTAATTGCATTTTCAATGACCACATATCTTTTTTACTTATATTTAAAAATAAACTTTCGACTGATAGTTACTTCTTTAACTTCTATTAAATATTCAAGGCTGCAAAAGTAGCGAGGTTAAGCTAATTACAAAGTATAATAATGTTGAAACTTGGCTTTGCTTACAAAAGAAAAAAACACTTTACTGCATTCTTATTTAATATGTTTATTCAAGGTTTAAAAATAGCTGCAATTCCTTGTAATTTATGTAAAATTGTTTAAAAAGAGCTTGAGAGCTTAAAAAGGAAAAAAATATAGGCGAAATATTTAATTTAATTATATTAAGAAATATGCTTTAAGATATTAATTGAATTTAATTTCAAGGCTTAAAAAAGCTGCAATTCATTGTAATTTATGTGAAATAGTTTAAAAAGAGCTTGAGAGAAAGAAATATGCTGTGAGATAATAATAAAACCACTTGAAATTCCAGAAACCCGTCGTCCAGGCGATGGGCATCCTGAAGAAGGCCGCCGCCGAGGTGAACAAGGAGTTCGGACTGGACAGCAAAGTGAGCGAGGCGATCTCGAAGGCAGCGGACGATGTGATCTCCGGCAAGCTGTACGCCGACCACTTCCCGCTGGTCATCTGGCAGACGGGTTCCGGCACCCAGAGCAACATGAATGTGAACGAGGTATGTTTGTATAGCTCTTAAATAGTAACTTCTTTCTAAAACCCATCTCTTTACCCAACCAGGTAATCAGCAATCGCGCCATCGAGCTGCTGGGCGGCAAGCTGGGCTCCAAGACGCCCGTGCATCCCAACGACCATGTGAACAAGTCGCAGAGCTCCAACGACACCTTCCCCACGGCCATCCACATTTCGGTGGCCCTGCAGCTGAACAACAACCTCAAGCCGGCGATCAAGACGCTGCACGATGCGCTGCGCGCCAAGTCGGAGGAGTTCAAGGACATCATCAAGATCGGGCGCACGCACACGATGGACGCGGTGCCCCTGACTTTGGGCCAGGAGTTCAGCGGCTATGCCCAGCAGCTGGCCTACGCCCAGGAGCGCATCGATGCCTGCCTGCCGAGGGTCTACGAGCTGGCCTTGGGCGGCACTGCGGTGGGAACGGGTCTGAATACGCGCAAGGGCTTCGCTGAGAAGTGCGCGGCCAAGATTGCCGAACTCACCAACCTGCCCTTCGTGACGGCGCCGAATAAGTTCGAGGCTCTGGCCGCCAGGGATGCCATGGTGGAGGTCCATGGAGTGCTGAACACCATCGCCGTGAGCCTGATGAAGATCGCCAACGATATCCGCTTCCTGGGCTCCGGTCCGCGTTGCGGTTTGGGCGAACTGTCGCTGCCGGAGAACGAACCGGGCAGCTCCATCATGCCCGGCAAGGTGAATCCCACGCAGTGCGAGTCGCTGACCATGCTCTCCGCCCAGGTGATGGGCAACCAGGTGGCGGTGACCATCGGCGGCTCCAACGGGCACTTCGAGCTGAACGTCTTCAAGCCGCTGATCGTGTCCAATGTGCTGCGCTCCATTCGGCTGTTGTGTAAGCTTGGGCTTTAGCCTGTCTATCTGTATCAGTTGTATATTATATTATATATTTTATTATATTTTCCAGCTGATGGCAGCCGTACCTTCACTGCCAACTGCGTGAACGGCATTCAGGCCAATCGCGAGAACATTGCCAAGATCATGAACGAATCCCTGATGCTGGTGACGGCCTTGAATCCGCACATTGGCTACGACAAGGCGGCCAAGATCGCCAAGACGGCGCACAAGAACGGAACGACGCTCAAGGAGGAGGCCATCAACCTGGGCTACCTCACCGAGGAGCAGTTCAACGACTGGGTGCGGCCCGAGCAGATGCTGGGACCCAAGTAGTAGGCCATCTGTCAACCATTTCATCTAGCCTGTCGGGCTTAAGTTCGTTCGTTTGTCAAGAGATCAGAGATCAATCAATAATAACCGAAAATGCTGAAGCAAATCCAGGGATTAGGCCTGGTTAGGCGCCATCTCTGGGTGGCCTGCGGTGGCCTGCGGGCCAAGGAAGTGAGTAGTGGTGGCAAGGGCAAGGGCAAGGAGAAGGAGAAGTTCCGCACGGAGAAGGACACCTTTGGGGAGCTCAAGGTGCCCGCCGACAAGCTTTATGGCGCGCAAACGATGCGATCCAAGCTGAACTTTCCCATCGGCGATATAGCCGAGCGCATGCCGGTAGGAATGGGAATTGGCAACTGGGGAATTAGGGCTGGCACTCCTAAATCTAAACTCTCACCCAGATGCCGGTCATCCAGGCGATGGGCATACTGAAGAAGGCCTGTGCCGAGGTCAACAAGGACTACGGGCTGGACAGCAAGATCTCGGACGCCGTCTCCTGCGCCTGCGACGATGTCATCTCCGGCAAGCTGTACAAGCAGGGCCACTTCCCGCTGGTCATCTGGCAGACCGGCTCCGGCACCCAGTCCAATATGAACACCAACGAGGTGAACGGGAATCTAAAAGATATCTTCGGGCTAAGTATTTGGGATTATCTCTATTTTACGCCTAAAATACTCCAATCTTTGGTCTAATAGTGGTCGGATTTATTCATAGATTTATTTATGATCTTGTTATCTGTTCAAAGCAGTATGTATTTTTGCTGTAGGACCATTTTCGGCCAAGTTACAGCAAAATAACAAAAAGGAAAAATTCCTTTTTTTACCAAAAACCTAGATCCCAATTTTTCACAGAAAAATAATTAGTTTTTTGACCATAGCAAGGGAAATATTGATCCGAATATGGATTGTCATACCTTTCTGAACTCTTAATTAAATTTCCAATCGATTGGCATTTAAACCTAAAAATTTTATTTTTTATTTAATTTTTTGGAAAGAATCATGATGTACCCCCTTATAAAAAAATTGAAAATTTGCAAAAATTTTATTTTTTCAAGAGCAGCCGGACAGTGTTATGGATTTATTTATTATATTATTATCTGTTTAAAACAGTATGTATTTTTGCTGTAGGACCATTTTTGGCCAAGTTACAGCAAAAAAACTAAAAGAAAAAACTTTTTTTTTACCAAAAACGTAGATCAAAATTTTTCACATAAAAATAATTAGTTTTTTGACCATAGCAAGGGAAATATTGATCCGAACATGTATTGTCATACCTTTCTGAATTCGTTATTTAATTTCCAATCGATTGGCATTTAAGCCTAGAAATTAAAATTTTTGTCAACTTTTTGCAAGAAATTGTGATATCAAAAAATTAAAAAATTTAGGGAAATTTCCTTTTTTTAAATCATCCGACATTGTTTGCTGTCAGCAAATTTGGATTTAATATATAATACGTATATTTCTAGGAGCTTTAAAATAAACTCAATTTATTAGGTTTTGTTAAATAATAATTCTTTAAATACCTGATCTCTCAGGTAATCAGCAATGCGGCCATCAAGATGATGGGTGGCGAACTGGGCAGCAAGAAGCCGGTGCATCCGAACGACCACGTGAACAAGTCGCAGAGCTCCAACGACACCTTTCCCACGGCCATCCACATCTCGGTGGGCATGGAGCTGAACGAGCGGCTGGTTCCGGCGGTGACCCACCTGCGGGATGCGCTCAAATCGAAGTCGGACGAGTTCAGGGACATCATCAAGATCGGACGCACCCATCTGATGGACGCAGTGCCTCTGACTTTGGGCCAGGAGTTCAGTGGCTACACGCAGCAGTTGACCTATGGCCTGGACAGGATTAAGGGCTGTTTGCCGCGGGTCTACGAGTTGGCCTTGGGTGGAACTGCCGTGGGAACGGGCCTGAATACCCACAAGGGATTCGCCGAGAAGGTGGCCAAGCGGATTGCCGAGCTCACCTGCCTGCCCTTCGTGACGGCCCCGAATAAGTTCGAGGCTCTGGCCGCCCGGGATTGCATGGTGGAGGTGCACGGAGTGCTGAACACCATCGCCGTGAGCCTGATGAAGATCGCCAACGATATCCGACTGCTGGGATCGGGTCCGCGTTGCGGACTGGGTGAGCTGATGCTGCCGGAGAACGAACCGGGCAGCTCCATCATGCCCGGCAAGGTGAATCCCACGCAGTGCGAGTCGCTGACCATGCTGTGTGCCCAGGTGATGGGCAACCAGGTGGCCGTGACCATCGGTGGCTCCAACGGGCACTTCGAGCTGAATGTCTTCAAGCCGCTGATAATATCGAATGTTCTTCGCTCCATCAGGCTGTTGGGTGGATATATCTCTATATATATCTACATAATTCCCTCTTAATCCTAATAAATATCTTCCTTTTAGCCGATGGCAGCATGACCTTTAGCAAGAACTGCGTGGAGGGACTGCAGGCCAACAAGGAGACGATCGACAAGATCATGAACGACTCCCTGATGCTGGTCACCGCCCTGAATCCGCACATCGGCTACGACAAGGCCGCCCAGATCGCTAAGACGGCCCACAAGAATAAGACGACCTTGAAGGAGGAGGCCCTGAAAACGGGCATCACCGAGGAGCAGTTCAAGGAGTGGGTCAATCCCAAGGAGATGCTGGGGCCCAAGTGATCCTATGTGTAGTTGCAATCAACGTTATCAGTTAAAATGAATAAATTCCTCATGTATAGTGCTTAAAAAGATGTAACGGTTTGGTTTTCAAAATTAAAAATGGTTCGAGTCCCAGCTAACCGCTCTTCCGGTTTGTGTCAGCGTTATCGATTTTCAAACCGCGATATATCGTAAATCGTAACGGTCACACTGGCGCCTCTCTGTTTTTGGTCATTTCTTTGTTTTTATCGTAAATTCCAGCGTAATTAGCTGCTTTATTACAGCGGAATATAAGCCTAAAAAAAAGATAGACAAGTGTTAGCTTCGGTGGCCTTTTTCAGTGGTCCAAAAATATTCGAGCTGGCAGCGATTATCTAACGACAAAATCGAAACGAAACGAAGCAGTAGGCGGAGATAATAAAAATAAGGCAGCCAGGCAAGTTGGCTTCTTCGTAAATTATCCGTTCCGTCCAGTTGAAAAAAAAGAGCAAAATCTAGACCAGCCCGCAAGGAATCGAGAAGGCGACATAACTTTTGAGTCAGAGGAAAACCACCATTTCGATTTGCGGATTTTGCCTTGTAGTTGCACCCTGCCCACACCCTCCCCCTGCAAGCCACCCACTTGCAGCACCACCACCCACAAACAAAATATAAAATATATTTACGACGCAAAAACAAAACAATCGAATCGGCGCACCAGCTGTTCGGCTATCGAACCGCACTATCGATCTCACGCACATGAGCAACGTTGGCGAGGAAGAAGAAGCAGCAGCAGCAAGGAACCTAAAAAAATAACGTAATTTAATATTTTTAAACCCAAAATAATAACAATGGGCGTTTTTAATCAGTCCTTCAGTTACAGGCACTGGTAGCCGAGCTCTTTGTGGGCCGAAAGATGTCTGTGAGACTGCTGACCGTGCGACTGATCAAACATGGTCGCTACATTTTGCGCAGCTACTGTAAACGTGATATACACGCCAACATTTTGGACCAGAATCAATTGAAGACGAGAAGCAAGCGCGGCTTTCCCCTACCCTCCGCCTCCGCCGCCCATGTGCCGCGGGTGAGTATCAGGAATCCTCCTTGGTATTACTGATAATCTTACATACTAATCTCCTGCAGACGACGCCCCAGCAGGCGGCCAAATCGGTGGTCAATGTAGTGCCTCCTAGTGCAGGATCTCCGTTGGGCGGGAGGAGCCCCTCCAGCGGCCTCTTCCGCGTGGGCCAGCATGCCCGCAAACTGTTCATCGACAACATCCTCAGCCGGGTGACCACCGCCTACTCGGAGGATCTGCGCCAGCGGGCCACGCGACGCCTCTTCTTCGGCGACTCGGCTCCCTTTTTCGCCCTGATAGGCGTGAGTTTGGCCTCCGGCGGCGGTGTCCTCAGCAAGGAGGACGAACTGGAGGGCGTGTGCTGGGAGATTCGCGAGGCCGCCGGCCGATTGCAGCGGGCCTGGAACCAGGACGACATCTCCGAGACGCTGGACAGCAGGTTCAGCATCGATGATTTGGAAATCGGGCCGCCCATTGCCAAGGGCTGTGCCGCCGTCGTCTACGCGGCGGGATTTAAGAAGGATGCGGATTTAAGCAGCCAGCCCTCCGATGTGGAGACACCAGCCGTTGCTCCAAATAGCTGGAGTGGCCAGGAGATGTTGATGTCGCCGCTGCAGAACATGTCGCGCTTCGTGCACAACTTTGGCGGCTCTGTGGACAACATCTTTCACTACAGTCAGCCCTCGGCGGCCAGCGACTTTGTGGGCGCCCAGGAGAGGGAGCAGCAGCAGGAGCAGCAGGATCCCAGAAGCAGTGCCTTAAATGAGGTAAAAACAAGAAAGGAATATATTATATACCCTTGCAGATTATTTCTATTCATTTACAAATCGCTAAATTGTTCAATTTCCCATTATTTCTCATTCATTTTCCGATCGTTCCTATGGCAGTTCAATTTTGATCAAATTAAAATCGAAATTCGGAAATATTTAAAAAGAGGCATATAAAAACCAGCAAAGCAATAATTTTTTTCCTATTAATTTGCATTTAATTTTCCGACCGTTCCTATGGCAGCTATATGATATGGTGTTCCGATTTTTTCTACATTTTATTCGAAATTCATAAACATTTAAAAAAAATTATTCCCAAGAGTGAAAGCTAATATTTAAAAAAAAACCCAAGCTAGAATTTTTTTTACGTTTTTTTTCCCATTGTTTCTATGGCAGCTATATGATATAGTCGTCCGATTTTTTAAATATTTAATTCGAAATTTGGAAATATTTAAAAAATAACATTTCTAAGAGTAGAAGGTTTTATTTCTAAAAACACCGAAGCTAGAATTTTTTTAACGTTTCCTTTCTATGGAAGCTAAAAGATATAGTTGTTCGATCCGGCCGGTTCCGATTTATGTACTACCTGCAATAGAAAGAAGACTTTTGGGAAAGTTTCATCGCAATAGCTTAGAAACTGAGAGACTAGTTTGCGTGGAAACGGACGGACAGATAGATCGACTCGGCTAGTGATGCTGATCAAGAATATATATACTTTATGGGGCGGAAACGTCTCCTTCACCACCCTCTGCAAGGGTATAAAAATATAAAAATGATTAAATTAATTTAATACTAAACCCAAACCCCTTGCCTTGCAGAATTCCCCGCGGAACAGTTCGAACAACTATCCACTGGCCCTGAAGATGATGTTCAACTACGACATCCAGAGCAACGCCTTGTCCATCCTGCGCGCCATGTACAAGGAGACAGTACCCGCCCGCCAGCGCGGCATGAACGAGGCCTCCGGCGAGTGGGAGCGCCTGCTGCAGCGCCAAACGGTCGCCCTGCCGCCGCATCCGAATATCGTCTGCATGTTCGGCTTCTTCTGCGACGAGGTGCGCAACTTTCCCGACGGCCATCTCCTGTATCCGGTGGCCCAGCCGCCGCGGATCAATCCGCAGGGCTACGGCCGCAACATGTCGCTGTATCTGCTGATGAAGCGCTACGATCACAGTCTGCGCGGCCTGCTCGACAGCCAGGAGCTGGACACGCGCACCCGCATCCTGCTGCTGGCCCAAATGCTCGAGGGCGTGAACCATTTGAGCCGCCACGGGGTGGCCCATCGGGATCTCAAGTCGGACAACGTGCTGATCGAGCTGCAGGACGATGCCTCGCCGGTGCTGGTGCTCTCGGACTTTGGCTGCTGCCTGGCGGACAAGGTGCACGGCCTGCGGCTGCCCTACGTCTCGCCGGACGTCGACAAGGGCGGCAATGCGGCGCTGATGGCGCCGGAGATCTTCAACACGCTGCCCGGTCCCTTTGCCGTCCTCAACTACGGCAAGGCGGACCTGTGGGCCTGCGGTGCGCTGGCCTACGAGATCTTCGGCAGCCGCAATCCCTTCTACGCGAGCGTCGGCGAGCAGACACTGTCGCTGCGGAACAGCGACTACCGGCAGGAGCAGCTGCCGCCGATGGGCGACGCCTGTCCGCCGCTGCTGCAGCAGCTGGTCCACAACATCCTCAATCCCAACCCGTCGAAGCGGGTCAGTCCGGACATTGCGGCGAATGTGGTGCAGCTCTTCCTGTGGGCCCCCTCCAATTGGCTCAAGGCGGGCGGCATGCCCGGCAGCTCGGAGGTGGGTTTAATCAGTTTTCTAGCCTGTCTTGTAGCTTACCTATCGAACTCCTTTGCAGATCCTCCAGTGGCTGCTCTCGCTGACCACCAAGATCATGTGCGAGGGCCGTCCGCAGCTGGCGGCGGGCAGCTGGGCAGCCGCCGCCGCCGCCGGCAGACGCGCCTACGTGGAGTACCTGCTCATCTGCAGCTTCCTGGCGCGCGCCCGCCTGCGTCGCATTCGCGGCGCCCTCAACTGGATCCAGAATGCGGTGGTGGCGTAGGCGCTGCCTGCCCATCTATCTACCTGTTACCCTGAGAAAATCAAATGGAAAAGCGTGTGATACCTATATTTTACATATGTATTTATAAATCAAAAATCGAAATTGACTATTCATCCTGGAGGCGCTGCAGCTGCAGCTGCTGGCAGAGCATCTGCTCCTCGGCCAGTGCGTCCTCGTAGTCGCCGAGCAGCTGCAGGATGGTCTCGTTCAGGGCCAGGTGCACATCTTGGGGGGATTCGTCGGGGTTCTCCCTCAAGTCGGTCATCAGGATGTCCACAATTTGGCTCATCTCCGCGATGCTCTGGAGCGCGCGATCTAGTCGATCTTCGGCAGCCATCTCGACCTTGGGGCTCTGGTTCAGCTGGGGATGCTGGTGGGGATTGGAGGAGAGATTTATGGAAAGGCTTTGCTAAACAAACTTGACTAACAATTACCATGACTGAAATTCCTTTCAAATTCGAAATTCGAATGTTTTGTTTACTGCACGCGCATTGCGATAACGATTGGTCAGGGCTGCAGTAATCGATTGCCTGCCAGGGATGGGGAAATTTAAACAAATTTAAAATTAATTAATTAGATCTTTGGATTTTATTTTTAACTCATAAAAAATAAAATAAAAACTTCCAGATTATTTATTTGTAAATAAATTTGAGTAAAATAGAAAGTTTTCTCATATTATATTATTACATCTTATATGCTAGAGCTCTTAATTTAGTTAGCTCATAGTTTTAAGTTTTAGTTAGCTTTATGTAAATAAATATTATTAACATTAACATTTATTTACGAATTTTATTTTCACATTTTTTGTTGGTTTATTTAAACAAATCCGTTTTAAAAACCATTCTGTATAAATCAAATCAATCATAAATCAATTGGTATTTATTTTCAACAAGCTCATAAAAAAATGCCTTATTATTTATTTGTAAACTATTAAGTAAAATTGAAAGTTTTGTCTAAATGTTATTAACATTCACATTTATTTAAAATTTGTATTTAAAAAACAATTCCCTATAAAACTACACTTAAATCAATTTAAATACAAAAAAATGCCAACTTATTTGCCAATCTCCACGCGACTGACGCACAACTTGTGATCGTAGAAGGAGCAGGTGGCCATGGTCAAGGAGCCGTCGTCCCTGCTCCGAAACGGAGCCCAATCGGCGCCGTAGCAGATGCTCGCGTGCTCCTCGTAGGCGCCCAGCAGGCTCAGGCCGGGCGCACTGGCGTCCAGCTGCACCACACTGAAGTTGGTGTACATGCAGGCGGCCAGGAGGAGATCGCTGGCCAGGGGATGCGGCTTCAGCCGCCAGATGCCGCCGCCCAGGTTCAATTCGGCCAGAGGTCGCCTCATCGCCCGGGTGTCGAACAGGCGCAGCTGCTCGTCGTAGCTGCCCGTGAGCAAATGGTGCTCGTGCCGCGGATGACTCAGCAGGCAGGTGACGCCGGCCATGTGCGTCCGGTTGCTCCAGGCGCGCTGCTCCGTGCGCAGGTCGTGGGCCAGCAGGAGCATGTCGTCGCCGCCGCTGTACAGGAGGTGCGGCGACCAGCGATCGAAGGCGCAGGTCCAGGCCTCGAAGCCATGTCCAGATGACCACGAGCGCTCCCGGATAATCTCACCCTGCGGGGAGCACTTGAGCAGATGCAGGCCACCCTTGGAGTCGGAGACGGCCAGCTGGATCGCCTGCTCCCGCCGCCAGTCCAGGGACAGAGCCAAGGGGGCTTCCTGATCCTGCTCCTCCGCCAGGCAAAAGCACGTGCGCCTCTCCAGCTTCTGCTCGTCCCGTAGGAATTCATAGGTTTCCAGCTGACCCAGCGAGTTGACCGTCGCCAGGTGGGCAGCTCCATCATCCCTGCAGGCCGGCAACCACTTCATGTCCAGTATGGCCGCCGTTTCGATGCACTGCAGCCGCTGCAGGCGGGAATTCGAGTCGGCGAAGTGGTACAAGTAAACGCGGCCCTTGCGTGGGCACTTGGGTGACGCCTCCTGCTCATGCTCCCCCTCCTCCTGAACCAGCTGGTAGGTGCCGCAGGCAAAGTAGCCCTCCTCCTCCGGATCATCCTGCGGCAGGAACTCCACGGAATCCGCCGAGTATTCCGTGTCCTCGCTGTGGAGCGTTGTAAACATGCTGGCAGTCGGCTATCGATAATTATCGGCCATCGATGCTTCTTCTTCTCCGCTTACAAATACATCGCCCCGCCAATCGACCGTTGCCTTTTGATCTCTCTTATTAGATTTATTTGTTATTTTCGCTTTTTTTTGCTAATTTAAAAAATTAATAGTTAATACATACAACTACTTAGTGCTCTGTTTACGCGCTACATATTCTTGATTAGGTTTAGTTGATCTCGTCCCTCCTCCGTAGTTGTTAGCTGCATATTTCTTCGACTTTTTTCGGGGCGTCACAGTGTTTCGTTATCTTAGGGGACTTGGGGGCTCTTCGGAGGGCCGCCAGGCATCCTTCTTATTGCACTTGATCCTTGATCTCCGCTTCTCTTCTCCTCGCGCTTTTTACAAAATCTATCTTTCAAGTACCTCGCGTCACATATTAAAAAACATATTTAAAAAAAAAAACAAACCCTTATTGATAACTATAGACAATCCCTACGCAGATCTCATCTGTGCCCGTGGCCTGGCTGCCGCTCTACTCCACACTACTCCACACTAATCCCCTCTAGCGATTGCTGCTGCGACTGCGACGCCTCCGCGATCCTCATTTGGTCTTCATCACAATGATTGGCTCGAGTATCTTGAGCATGTCATTGTTTTCGGGTGCTCCGGTTCCATTGCCGCCGCCAGAGCCAGGAGCTCCTCCTGCGCTGCCTCCTCCGCTGGCCACCTGAAGTTTGCTGAAGCCGGGATGCGACTGCTGCTGCTGCTGGTGGAGATGCTGCTGCTGCTGACTGATGGTGACCAGTCGGTGCTGCTGATTCAGCACAATCGCCTCGTGATGCTGCTGCTGCTGCTGCTGCTGCACCAACTGCTGCTCAAGCTGCTGCAGCTCGTGGTGCTGCAGCTGCAAGGAAGGCAGCTCGTGGTCATTGGAGACATCGCCCGGTGATCCCTCATCCTCGTCGTCATCCGCCTTGACCACCGTCACGAAGCCGCCATCGCTGCCCGTGCCAGTGACCGAAACGGCCTCCGCATCTCCGTACAGCTGTTGCTCCTGCTCGTCCTCGTTATCCTCCTCGTCCTCCTCCTCGGTCTTGGCCCGGAACTCGGTGCTGGTGGCGCTGCTGCTGCGCGGCGTGTGGCTGCGCATGCGCCGCATTCGCGCATACTCGGCCTGCTTGGACAGCCGCTCCTTGCGCTCGTCCGTATTCTCGGTGGCCCTGATCTGCGCCCGCTTCAGTCGCGCCCGCTCGCTGAGCTTCTGGAGGCGCGTGGCCCGCTGCTCGGGCGTCTCGTTCGCCCGCACCGCCCGCTGATGGGCGGCCATCTTGTCCAGTCGCAGGCGCTTCTCCTCCTCCGTCTCGTACTTGTTGGCCCCGCTGCGTCGCGGCGTCGTCGTCGTCGTCGTCATCGGTGTCACCTGCGTTCGACTGTCGCCATCGGCCGTGGAATGTACATGAATCTGGCTAAGATGATCCGATGAGTGGCTGAGCGGCCTGCCGCGACGCGGCGTGCTGGTGGCCAGCTGCGGGGCCGCCAGCATCTGGTTGAGCTCCTGCTCCAGCAGGCTGTTCACCTTCAGCTGCTCCTCGCTGGCCAGCGGATGCTTGCGCGGCCTGCCCCGACCAGCAGTGGTGGTGGTGGTGCTGCCGGTGCTGCTGACGATCTGCGGCGGAGGCTCCGCCTGCTGCTGCTGACCCAATCCCGTGACCGTGAGCGTGGGATTCGCCGCCAGGATGTTGTACTGGCCGCCGGAGGGACTGTGGCCGCCGCCGCTGGCAAAGTTGACGGGCGTGAAGGGCGGCGGCACCGGATTCGGTCCGATGCCGATCTGGAAGCCATTGTGATACATCGGATAGTAGGTGGTGCCGCCGGCTGCCGTCGTGGTGCCCGCAGTCACGACATTGTTCCCTCCTCCGCCGCCTCCACTGGTGGTGGTGGTGGTGCTGGGGCTCGGGAAGGTGGCCAGGTAGGGGAACTGCTGGTACAGCTGCTGCGCCTGACCGGGCGTCGCCTTGAGCAGCTTCTGCTCCCCGCTGGCCGTCGTCACGATCACCTTGGTCTCCTGGTTGTGGCCCAGACTAACAGACCCGCTGTTATCGTTGCCGCCCGCCGATCCCGGAGCATCGCCGTCCGACTGCAAGAGGGATGGAGGAGATTGCAGATTGGAGAGCCAACGGGTGAGTCGGTTTGGTTTGGGTGGGTTAGCGGTTAAGGGTTAAGGATTAGGGGTTATATATTAATTGCCTAAAAATCGATCCACTGACTGGATTTATTTGAATAAAAATATTTATATTTAAAAAAATATAAATAAAGTTTAGAAATTTTGTTATAATAATTTACATACTTTTTTAAATAAATCCAGTTAGTTACTCTACATTCAAGAAATATCTAGTAAATTATAGAAAATATCTAATATAAACATAAAATAAATTTCTATTTGCTTAAAAATCAATCAACTAACTGGATTTATTTGGAACAAAATATTAATACCTAAACAATTTTGTTATAATAATTTTCATACTTTTTTAAATAAATCCAGTTAGTTACTCTACATTCAAGAAATATCTAAGAAATTATAGAAAATTACTAATATAAATATAAAATATATTTCCATTTGCTTAAAAATCGTTTAACTGACTAGATTTATTTGGAAACTATAATTTAATTCAGAAAAAGTAAGTAAAATTTAGAAATTTTGTTATAATCAATTTCATATTTTTAAATAAATCCAGTTAGATACTTTACATTTCAGAAATATCTAGTAAATTATAGAAAATATCTATTTCTCGGATTTAAAATGGGTTTATAGATCGGATTTTGAAAAGAAGTGAGTGCGTGCGATAGAGTGAAAGAGATAGGAAGAGGACACAAACACACACACACCGGCACTGATTAAATTTTTGCAAATTAAAACCACTTTTTTGTTTGTTTCTTGTTGGTAAAAGATTCTTAATTTACTACATGACATATGCATATCTACACTCTAAAATGGTTAATTCGTTTAATTCTTTCCGAATAACTAAAATAATACAAATAAACCAATAACAACAAGAAATAAAAATAAAAAAGAAACAAATTTTCTTTTAGTGAATGGAGGTGGTAAAAAGATTTTTTCAGTTAAGGAACAAACAAAAAAATGTCCTTCCGCCGTTTCTTCTTCCCATTTCCATTGACTTTTTTTCTGGGGAATTATGTGAATTCTACATTTTCAAAAATCCTACTTTCCAGTTTCAATCATTTTCCCTTTCGAGGCAGTTGATTTCTTCAACTGCAAGGAAAATATTTGAGTTTTATGGGTATTTGCAAAAGTTTGATATTTTACCAGTGCTACGAATTTGCTTTCGATTCCAAATTTCTCTGCAATTGCAAAAATCATTAATGGTTATTGTTGAGTTTAAAGAGCTTTTCCAGATTTCAACGCTTGAATACTTTGAAAATGATCGAAAATCGATTAATCGAAATGCAGCGCTAATTTTTTGAAGTATATATATCAAACTAAGTTGAAAAACTACGAAATATTAATTACAACAGGATTCTTTATAATAAAGTTATGGAAATGTGAAAAGGACTGTACTTCCGGGTGCTTTAAAGTTGCTAAACGATGCAGCGGCACATTAAATATATCGATATTTCAAACATTTCATCGCTGCATTGCTTACAAACAGAATTCTTGACTTCTTTCCTTGGAATTTCGAGTGGGAAGCGGTTGGTGTGTGTGCTGCCACCTCTTGAGATCATTACCCTCCATTACCCACCTGAAGTTCCTGCTTCTTGGCGGCATATTTGTGCGGGTACAGCTCCAACTGGCCGCCGGCGATGCTGAAGTGGGGCACATGGGCCTGGAGCAGCTTGGCGGTGCCCTTGCCCCCGTCATCGCCGTAGATCTGCTGGACAAAGATGCTGCCCGGCTCGGTGCCCTCGAGCAGGGCGGCGGTGACCTGTTGCTGCTGCTGCCCGGTGATGGTGTACCGCTGATGCTGCTGCTGCTGCAGCTGCTGGTTGATCTGCTGCTGCTGCTGCTGCTGCGGCGTCTGGGGCTCCTGCTTGAGCTGCATGGGCGGTCGCAGGGAGCCGGGGGCCAGGAACATGCCCGAGCCCATGTACTCCACGCCGGCGAGCGCCTGATGCTGCTGGTAGGCGGCTGCCGTCACCAGATGCTGCTGCTGCTGCTCCTCCGTTGGCTGCGGGGTCCCAGCCTCGTCCGTCGTCGTCGTCGTCGCTGCGTTGCTGGCCGCCTGGTTTAGATTGATAGTGTGTTCGTTAGTACAATTGGCTGCCGCCGCTGCTGCGGCCGCTGCTGCAACAACGAGCACCTGCTGCTGCTGCTGCTGATGTTGTTGCTGCTGCTGCTGCTGTTGCTGCTGCTGTTGTTGCTGGTGTTGCTGTTGCTGGTGGTGGTGCTGCTGGTCCGTTGACGACGAGGAGGATGTCGGCGTTGAGACGGCGACCACCGACGACGAACCACCGTGCACCACAACATGCTTCAGTACCTTCTTCTTTTCTCTGACCTTTTTGGCATAGTCGTTCAGCTTTCTCAGTCTTTCCTTGCGCTCCTCCGGCGACTCGTTGGCGATCCTCTGGCGCGCCCTCGCCGCCATCTCAGCCAGTCGCTGCTTCCGCTGGTCGTTCGTCTCGCTGGCCCGGTACATGCGCATCCTTTCGGCCAGCTTGGCCAGCCGCTTGGCCCTCTGATCGGGCGACTCCATGGCCCTTCGCAGCCGCTGCCTGGCCGCATTCCTCACCAGCCGCATGGCTCGCTCTATGTCCGATTCGTTCTGGCGCCTTTGCCTATTGGCCTCCGCATTCCGGAGCAGCCGCTTCCGGTACTCGTCCTCGCTCTCGCGCTGCCGTCGCTCCCGCATCCTCTCAGCATTTCTGGCCAGACGGCGCTGGCGAGCCTCGGGACTCTCGTTCCACCGCTGCTGGTGGCCGCCAGTGGTGGAGGCGCCTGTAAGGGAGGCGCTGCTGGCGCTGCTCGTGGGTCCCAGGGGAGTGGGCTCCTGTTGCTGCTGCTGCTGCTGCTGCTGTTGCTGTTGCAACTGTTGCTGCTTCAGTGGGGTGTGGGCATAAAGCTGGAGGTGCTGTTGCTGGAACTGCAGTTGATCCTGCTGCTGCTGGTGGAGATGCTGCTGCTGCTGCTGTTGGAACTGTTGCTGCTGCTGCTGCTGCTGGTGTTGCTGCTGCACGTGCTGTTGCTGCTGCTGCTGCTGTTGCTGCTGTTGCAACTGCAACTGGTGATGCGAGGAGAGGGGTACCAACAATGCTGAGGGATGCTCGATGAGGAGGCGGGCATTGGAGCCATTGATGGCCAGCACATGGGTGGCGTACTGCTGCTGATCGAGTGAGGGCTCTATTTTTATCCCATTGGGATCTGGTTCCATATTCTTGGTCAAAAGCCGGGGGCAACAACAATCGCAATTGTCGTCTATCGGTGGCTCAGGAGTGCAGTGGTGTGTAGTGTGGTTATCGAAAGGATGAGCGCAGTCCTTCCGATTGTTTCGATAACATCTAGGGGCCGCGCTCTTGCTCTCTCCCTCGCACTCTCCCGCTCTTTTGCTGCCAAGTTATATAAATATGTGCTTCTGCTGCTGTGTTATTCCTCTCTCGCTCTCGCTCTCTCTCAGCGGGACTTTGCGGCGATCCGATCGCTGACTTTTGCTAAATCGATCATTTCTTTCCTGCTCCTGCTCCTTGATTTGATATGCGTTCTGGGTTCTTTAGCTTTTTTCGCGTTCTTTTGAAAAAGCGTGCTTCTTCTTTCGAGTAAGTGACAATTGGCGCCGCCGCCGCGCTGCTGCTGCGCTGCCAATCGATTTTTCACATGATTATACACACACACCCATGCGGCACGCACACACACGCACTGCCGAGCACACACACTCACACATACGCCGCCGCTGCGTGTACGTGTGTGCGAGTTTTTTTCCGCTCCTTATTTTGCCTTTCGCACAAACCTTAACCCTCTGCGATTTAGTTCCATTTAAGCGTTGTTTTCGCAGCCTCTGGTGGGTTAAGAACTGGACTGGCGGCGCTTCTGTCGCTCGTAGCTACCGACTTTGGCTGCAAATAGCGGGGATTTACCACACAGCTGGCATATATATCTTCCGCTTCCACTTCCGACCGGATCGGATTGTCTCTGATTTGCACTCTATTTTGCTGCGCTTTCGCAGGTCGTGGCACTGTTCTGTTCTTTTAATTGAATTTACTTAGTTTTATATCTGTTGTTTTCATTTTCTTTTTTTTTTTGTATTAATCCATCGCGTTTGGTCACACTGCCAATTGACCAACAGCTAGTGGTTTGAGCGCATGTGCGAGCCAAGGCACACGTCGATAGGCGCAAAAGTTGGTTCCGATCCTGGCTAAGAAAAGCTGTGGCATAGCTTTTCACTTGTTTAAAATTCTTTTAAAGTCACAACCGATTTTTTACTACTTGGTTAAAATGCCCAAGTGCATATTCATAAGAACCGCCTTATCTTTTTCATATATTCGTTTTTGAAATTGCCGTATTTCCTGCCAAATTGTAGTTCCGATAGTGCAGTTAAGTTAACTTTGCGATCGATATATATCGGTAACTGTAACAGTTGACTGTTAGGTTAACAGAAAGTTTACTGGAAAGTTCGAAATCTAAACTTTTTGAAATCCAAGAAACTTAAAACCTTGACTTTAATTAAATGAAAACTTAGTTTTATAATTATTTTGTATGCTTTACATAGTTTTGAAAGCACCTGTGCGATCAAAAATGAATCTGTATTTAAGATCAGTTCCGAATAGTATCTGAAAATCATCCCCGCATTGGAGTCCTGCAGGTGGTTTCAGTTTCAGTTATTTGTTAGCGGGAAATATAAGCTGAGCTTTCGGTTGATTTTTTTACCTCTTTACCTACCACCCCACAAAAATTCATTTCCCGCCCATTTTCAAAGCGCAACATTTAAAAATTGTGAATGCAACTTTATTCAAGTATATTCATTTTGTTATTCTCGTTTTTTTTTTCGCTTGTTATGTTTCCTATTCTTGTTTCGCTTTGTTGGTGTTGTATGTTTTTGTTTTTTGTTCTTGTGTGTTGTTATTGTTAGTGTACACGAATATTACAATACACAAAAATGTATCTCAATCTTAAGTCTTAAGGCAAAAACAATTGATAAACGTATTTAGACAGGAGAAAAACAATTTGAAATTTCGACTAGAACTTAATGGTTACGGTTTATTAATAATAATTAGCATAATATATATAGGTATAAATATATATCATGTGGGTCCTTGCGGAAGTCAAAGGACATGGGCGTGGGACAAGGGGTGATAAGGGGATAAGGATAAGGATAAGTGGGAGGAAGGATTGCGTGCTATAACAAATATTGCGTTATGTGCCTGGCAACGGATCATGTGTGTATGCTCCAAATACATGTATATATACAATATATATATACACATATGTGGGGCCTGTGTGTATATCCTTATGCGAGTGGCGCTGTCCGTTTTGGGTTACATGCTTTTACCAACTACACACACATATGGGGGTTGATTGTCGCCAGGGTGCCTCAGTGGCTTTGGAAAAATACTAATAGATTTTCGGTTTTAGCAATTTTCGCCCGAGGATTTGCTGGAAAGGCACTTGTTGCCTCGTCCATCTGCGAATTTCATAGGGGTTTCTTGGGTTTTTGGGAGGTGCTCCTCAGTCGTTTTGCGATTTTTATGTACAGTGAGGCACCCTGGCGGTGTAAGCTTCCCTTTTGCCAGGGGTGGGGTGGGGGTATGTTGGTAAAGGGGGGGGACTCTATATATATGTGTGTGCTATGACTATGCTAGTACATGTGTGTGTGTCGTGTGTGTATACATACATATCGTACGAATATAATGCATGCACTATAAAAATACTTTACTTTATGATTACTTTACGTTTCATCTGCTCATCTCTTCGTCTTGTTAAAGTTAAACTTAAAAAAAAAATTGCCTGGCTTTAATCCTAGAGTGCCTGCTGCCCATTATTTCTTCATCTTCGTCTTCCTCTTCCGATTTCTGTGTTATAGGCTGTATACAATATATATTATTTATGGGGGATGTGTGTTTGTCTCTCTGATCCTGAAGGAAGTTCGTATCCGGATGGGGATCGTGATGAGAGCTTGCTTCTCTCCGATATTTCATTTGTGTTTTATCGGGAGTATCGATAATTTGCAAGCTCTCATCGGGATCCGGCTCGACCTGACCAACTTTCTCGCCGGAGAGCCAGCTCCTGAAGGTTTCGCCTCCCATTCCGGGAATTAAGGATCCCCTCGCTTAGTAACCCTTTAGCCTGTCGGCCAGCGGCGGCTTGATGACCTTGGGCGCACTGGCCCTGGCCACCCGCATCCTTTCGGCGGCCTTCGCCAGCCGCTTCTTGCGCTCCTCGCTGGTCTCCGAGGCGCGTCGCAGTCGCTGCCGCGCCGCATTCTTCATCAGTCTTAGGGTTCTTTGTACTTCCGTTTCGTTCTGCCGCCGCACTCGATTCGCCTCCGCATTCTTGGCCAAACGCACCCGGTACTCGGCCTCCGACTCCTTGGACCGCTTGTCCCGCATCCGGGCGGCGTTCCTCTCCAGCCGCCGCTCCCTGGCCTCGATGCTCTCGTTGCTCCGCCGCCTGGCGGCCTTCTGGGCACGCGAGGATTGGGGTGCTCCTCCTGCTCCACCTGGTTGTGTGCTGACTGACTGCTGCTGCTGATGCGGCACGCCGAGATTGGCCAGGCCGGGTATGCCACCTAGTTGGCTCGCCTCGACCACCACGCCGGCGGATAGGTGATGATGCAGGGGATGCTGCTGCTGCTGCTGCTGCTGGAGGACCTCCTGGTGGGGATTGCCCCCCTGCTGCTGCTGCTGCTGCTGGGGGAAGCTGTTTTCACTGGCGGCTGCAGGGGTTCCTGATCCCGAACCTGCTGCTCCTCCCGAGGAGGAGGTGACCACCGAGGAGGCAACGGCCGCCGCCGCCGCCGCCGATGTGGTGTAGTTGTTGTACTCTAGGAGGCCCCGGTTGCCCGGATAGAGGGCATGGTGCATGGGACTCTCATAGCTGAGATACTCCGGCTTGATGAAGAACGGATCGCGGGCGGTGAGGGGGGCCGTCGGCGAGTTGAGGAAGTAGAGGCGACTGTGGTGCTCGGTGGTAATGCTCCCTCCGCCACCCACACCCGCGGACATCGGGGGATATTTGCGCGCTCGCTGGGCGACTTGGGTTTGTGGTTATCTTTCGATGCTTTACCGCTTTTCCCGCTTTTCCCGCGCACCCGGGTATATTAAACACAATTAACTGGCCTGGGCAAAAAAAATGTGGCGAGTAAACAACAAAAGCGACATAACTAATCAATATGAAAAAAGCTGCCAATGGTCTGGTCCGCAAAAGCTTTTGTTGCGATTTTTGGCGAAAAGCTCTGCGCAACACTGTTATGTCTGGCGAATTGGCGTCGAAAGTGGAACGGTGGAATGAGGAACAAGTGGGCGCCAATCCGGAGACTAGAACCACTGCGAAGCAAGGACAGGAACCATGACATTAACGGCAACGGTAATTTTTCAATTTCATCCCCAAAAGAGCAAGGAAAACTCTCAAGTAAAAACAGCCCCCACGTTCCAACTTTCCAGCATTCCACTTTCATGGCCAATTTATCGACGCCAATTTGACGAACATGAAAAGCTTGCACTGACGTTTCGCAACACTCCGAGAATTTGAATATTTTTGAAAACTTTTAAGATTTTAGAAATTACAAACATTTCTAACTCCATTTCTTCAGGTCTAAAACAGTCAGTTTTATTCTTATTTTTTTATGTTGACAGCTGAAAGATTTGACTTCAAGTTTTAAAAGCTTAATTTTAACAATACGCGTTTGTAAGATTGATAATTAAATAAATTATTAAAAAGCTCATTTAACTAATAACTTTAACTTTACATATATATGTTTTTATCCTTTTTTTGTTTTTTATTTTATATAGCATAAATATTAATTTATATAATTAGTTATAATTTTAAATAATAATAATCATTTTTAAGCCCCTTCGAACATCGTGACGTCACAGCCAACGTGCTGCGGTTGCAAGTAGAAATGCGCGCGTGCGCAGACTTTAGTTTTCTTTGATTTCAGGAAAACATATTACTAAAAGAGAATATTATCCAATTAAAAAAAAATACTGAATAAAATAAATGTTTATCATAACTAAAGAAAGTAATGCCTTGTCAATAAATTTGTAAAACACTTCAATAAATAATTATGAGCATATCGATGTATCGTGACACGAGCGCCGATGGCTTATCACGGGCGCATCTTCAATACAGTCTTCATTTCATAACCGTAATTTCAATGATTGGAGCGCGATAATTAACCTATCTTTGCAACTAAATAAACGTTAATAAATATAAAAAAAAATAAAATAAATTTTTAAAAAGAGAATTAATAAAAATAAACCCACCCAAACACGTTCGTGCCAGCGAGGTTCGACTGCGGTCGAGTGAATGGCGGTACAAGTGGAAATGCCATGTTGTACCGCATTTTTGTTTTGGTTCTCGACGTGAACGGACGTGTGTGCTCGTGTGATGCGGCGCCAGTTGGCAGGTACGGTACAGGTAGCGTAGTTTACCTTTGCCGCTCTACAAAAGTCAAATAACAATAACAACAACAACAACAACGACGGCGATAATCGCAGCAACAACAACGACAATTGCAACAATAGGCGCATTCTTAATTGTGTTTACCTTTGATTGTCATTCGCCAGCGTTACATACACAGACTCACAGAGATAAACATACATTTTATAACTGCGATTTGACTGCGTGCGTGTGTCGTCGCGTCTCCTCTCGCCCCCCGCCCGTCGCCCCTCTATTTTGTTTGTTTGTTTTTGGTTCTTGTTCTCTCGGGTTTTCCTTCAATTGGAATGTGCAGCGAAAAGAACGACGGCAAGAAGAAAAGCCAGGCGCAAAGAACAAATCAAATCAGAGCAACGGTTTTAAAATTTATATAAGCACTAACATAATTTACTATTCTCGCAAACACACACACACACATCGACGACCACAGACATTCAAGGCAACTACTTTAAAAAAAGCAGTAATAAATACAATTTTACACATTCACATTCCATTTTGATTCTGTTGTGTGTGAAAAACTTATAAGAGAAAAACAACAAAAACAACGAAAACCAACGGCAAATAACAAAAAGTATCAACGGCAACAATAACAACAACAACAACAGTGAGCAGCATAGCAAAGCAGCGAAGTCAACGTCAAAACCGAAGAAGAAGAAGCAAGATAAATACATAGCAATTTCGACTAAATAAAGGTATGTGCGACGATTTACTTGACTTTATTATTACTATACTATTCGCTAGAGCGAGAGAGGGAGAGCATGCATACATACACTACATACAATCGGAGGCAAACACACATGCACACACATTTTCATTATTAGTTTAACTCTTCAATTTATTATTGTTATTATTGCTATTGCCCCGTATCCCTGTCCCGCTCGCACGCTCCTTGTGCTCCCCTTTTTGCTCTCCTTTGCGCCGCTCGCTCTCTATTGCTCTCTCGCTCTCCGCCTCCCTGTCATTTTCTCTCATTTTTCTTGGCCCTCTCTTTCTCTGCTAGTTCTTATTAAAATAGTTACGTTAAATCAGTGCGTTAACTTGTATTTGTGTGTATGTCTGCTGGTGTCCGTATGTATGTCGGTATCTGTGTATCTGTATGTCTAAAGATTACGTTTTTTTTTTACTTTTTGAATATGCCTACGAAAATGTTTAAGAAACCGAGAATGTGTGTGTTTATTGTTCTTTCGTATTTGATCACCCGCTTGATAAAATAGAGAAAAACAACAAGTCAGGTTGAAACGTCCGAAGTCTGTATGTTTTGTATCTGTAAGTGCCCTCGCATATGCACGTGTATGTGTGCGTTTGCATTGTACATAAATTGAATTAAGTGAAATTTTTGTTGTTGTTTTCGCCAGCGGAAATTTCTACACCGCATGTTCGTCGATCACTAAAAAATGGAACTAAAAATCAAACACGCACACGCATGCATAACGGTTATTCCGATAAGTTTTTACTGATGTTCGACAAATTCTGATTGGAATCTCGGCCGTTATGCAACATTTGTAGATGTATAGCTCTCGAAAAGATCCCAAGTCTCGAAAATTAATTACATCCCCACATCGAGATTGCTTAATGTTTTAACCATTAGTTTTGTTATATTTTTTGCTTATTTTTATTTTAATCGTATTGAAGATATATTTTTCTAATATTGTTACCTAATAATATTTATTATTTATTACAATACTTTGTTTTAGGTGGTATTCCATTTCGAATCTAAAGCTTTGTATTTAGTTACATCGCCCCAGATTCCATGCTACATGACACTTGTTTGGGGCAAATTAAATTGTTTATCTGTACCATGTGAAAAGTAGCTAATTGCTGTAGAAATAATATTCAATGTTATTTATTTGATTGTAAAATAATTAAGTACCAAAAAAAGAACTTCGAATCATAAATTTGCATTCAATTTAAGTTGGCAAATAAATCGCAGTCTAATATTTTATTCTTTCTCAAAGGCTGCAGAAAATGCGATAATTTGATATTCTGCCATTAAAAAGATAGCAGATTCCAGTTTTATGCGAATGATGATCACCTACCCCTTTTTTTTGTGATCCTGTGCCTGGTTTTGGCCCTTCCCTTTTTTCTATAGCTGCCTAGCTGGCATTTGCAGAAAAAGAAGACAAAAACCCACTAGACGAGTGGAGCTGCACATATTTGTTAACATTACCATTACCATATCCCATTTCCAATTTCCAAGCTTGCTTCTCTGTGACTCAGAAACAACAACCGAGACAACAACCAGAGCTTAAACAAAAACTGCAACAACAATAAGACGAAACACACACCTATTTACAGCTGTGTTCAAGGGAATAGTAGTTCTTTAGAAACACTATAAAAAGTAAAGTGTATACAGGTTAAAAAAAATAATAATAAAAAAAAAAATTATTTTTTTTTAGTCTAATTTAAGAATATGAAGATAGTACTATTATTGCGGACATAGCTGTAAGGTGGTGTCACACACACAGGTACACTCAAAGAAACAGAAAAAAAACAAAGAGTTACCGATATGCATATGTAACTACTCGAGTATCATTAAATGCAGATCTCTATAAAAGCATAAAAAACGAAGTCGAAGCGGAGAAGTGACTTTTGAGTGCGGTTTTTGTTTTTTTTTTATTTTTATTCGTATCGTTTCGTTTCGTTACCAAGACACAGGCAGACAAGACACACAAGACATACAGCCAACAACAATCCATAATAATCTTCCCGTAATTTATAGTCCAAGACAATTTATGTAATTTACAAATACCAAAAACGAAGGAGACGGCAAAAAAAGAAACAAAAGACGATGAGAGCGAATGCAACTGCTGCAGCCAACTAACGATAATAACAATAACGAAAAAAAATATAATAAAAAGAGAGAAAAACACACGGTGGAAAAAAAACAACAAGGCAACAGCAACACACACGGCAATAGCAATAAACAGCTACAGAAACAGCAACAACAACAACAATAGAGCAGCGCACTAAATAAACAATTCAACAAATTTGATCCGAGGCAAGCACACAAACATAAAACTATACACACACACTCGCAATCATAGACAACTCACACGCACATAAAAATGCATATGAAGAAAAAATATGTAGGTATGTTTGAATAAAAAAAAAATATATACGACAAATGTAAGTGCAGTAACAGAAATCAAAAGCAAAGGCAAAGAAAACGCAAAGACAAAGTGCAAAGTCAAATGTCGTTCAAGTTCCAAGTTTTTTCTTTCTTTATTTGTTTTTGCTTCTCAAGTTTGGTGAACGCATAAAATACATAAGTAGTGCTGGACAATGTCCTAGAATTCGACTATGGGATACCCCCTCGCAGTGAAAATTTTGAAAGGATTGTCCAGATATCAAATCTCGTTTCTTTTTTTTTTCGAGTATACTTTATCATGGCATATCATTTGGGTTATACAATAATAACTTATACTAACGTGTGCTAAAAACTGGTTTTATAGTTACAGCTTACGGAAAACTAAATAAGTATTGAATTTAGAACCTTTCATTTTTCAAATGTAAGACAATTAAATCTACTGTTTTTTTAAAGATACATTTTGCAAGATTTTATGCTGATTAGGTGTAATAACCAATCTACCCTTGGTACCCCTTATATAAGAATCGTCTATAAAAGTCTGTAGAAAATGTACAACTTGAACCCATAAACTCGCACACTCACACACACACACACATGGAGACAGATGCTAGCTTGAATGTGGTAATTGCATTTATTGCACGTGCTCTTGCTATCTCCTTTGCACTCACCGCACCCCCGTCTCCCCATCTCCCTCCCCCTCTCGCACTCAAGATTCAAGCACAAAATGTAAGGCCATAAAAATATTTTTCAAGCTGTAAACTTTTCTATGCTGCACAGTTTCTTTTTCTTTTGGTTCTTTTTCTTTCTCTTTCTGTGGTTTTCCCGACTACGGACCAAACGCCAAACCGCACCAAACGATCTCCCTCTTCCCGAACCACCCAAAACAGCCCCCTCTTCCACCCAACTACAGGGTATCAATCAAGCGAGCTCTTGTGGTCGGAGGATTTCCACTGCCACTGCAATTCCCCTTGGGACTTATGTACGACTTACAAATGAGGTCAAAATAATAGTAACCCTGTTCTCATTGTCGATCCAATTTGCTGAATTTATATATTTAAATTCTTCCAGAAGAGTGTCAAAGTAATTCTTCTAAAAATATTATTCAATTGCTAACCACATTTGGGGGCTACAGCCATAGATATTAGAGGTCGTGAGATCTTCTTTAGTTCTCCTGAGATTCTACAGATTCTACATCCCCAATAATGGATTCTTCTGGGTACAAAAGCATTATGGCCTATCCCTTGGGCTCCTATTATTTTGTGCACATCTGTTTTTGTTTTTGCAACGCTGATATGGAGATGTGAAGAGAGAGAGGGCGCTGCATCTTTGATGCTTTTATGGGCAAGTTGCTGGATATGAAACTTGTCTATTGAGCGCGGCTGGTTCTTTCTTCTGGCTGGTTTCTTCTCGTTTCTGGGTTCGTGGTTCTTTCTCGGTTCTCTAGATTCCCAGTTCTCGGTTCTCTTTGGCTTATCTCTGGCCATTGCCAAGTTTTTCATCTAGTTTTTGGCCTGGCTTTTCCCCCGTCGCTCCCAGTTTTGATATTCCAGTTCTTCTCCGGTCCTCTGGTCTTCTCAAGCAGTTCCTTTTCTTCTCTCGGCACTCCCACCCGCCCACACGCATCTCCTTTTGTGGAAGCGGTCGGTCGACTTGGTTTAGGTTTAGGTTTTTGTGTTTGTTTTATTGTTGACTTAATATCCTCGCCGCTCTCCATCATCATCATCATCATTGCCGCAATCTTCATTATCAGAGCGAGCGTTTATTTGTTTTCTTCGAGCTTTTCTTTGTACGCATTCTTCTGGTCTTCTCAGCTCTTCTGTTTCTTCAATTTCTTTTCTTTTTTCCTTCGAATTCTGTAGAAATTATAATTGCAATATTTATTCGGGTATTTCGGCGAAACGAAAACCTCAGCGTTTATCTAGGTATTATTTCTGAGTATGTGAGCATTTAATATCGGGCCATATATAGTAGTTGGGCAAATTGTTTACATAATCAGGTAAACCTGATACCACCGGGTACCGGGTTCAGCTATCGATATCGAGCGACTATCGAAATTAATATCTCGTCAACTGACGGCAAAGAAACAGCAAACAAACCGAACAAACAAACACATTCCAATCTTCTCTTATTTTTTTTTTATTATTATGCTTGAACTTACAGATGTTTGTAAGTGTACATTTCCTCACACAGACTCTGAGGCGACTGTAATCACTCGTGTGAGTGTGAGTGTGTGTGTGTGCTGGTGTGTCTTCTTCCGGAGCTATTGTTATTGCAAGTACACGTAAAATTATTGTTCACGTCGCACATTGTCGTGAGTTTGTAATTACCAACCTCACCTCACCTCGATCTCCCACCTCTTTTCTTTGCCACCGTCCACCGTTTATATGAGGTCTTAATATGCAGCACAGTGGTCGCTAGCTAAGTGTAATAACCTGATTAGGAGTACTTTAAGACCTCTAATATATTCGACGAGATGTAGATGGAAATAGATAGTATTTTAAGATCTCTGTCGAAAATATCTACTTATTCTCCCAGTTAATATATACAATATAATACCCCCTCTCTAAAAGTACCTGCTATAAAAATAATAAACACATCTGGAAATCGGGCCTTGCGATTAGTATATCATTATTTATTAACAGTGTGAGTTCCAGCAACAAATTTCCACTTGTAAAGTCAGAAAACGGGTTAGCACTCTGCACACAAGCACTCTGGACGACACTTCGTACCTATAGGAATGTTTTTGCTAATTTTTGTTGAGCATAGTCGATTGGAATTTCTGGTCTTTAATAACTCCAATCGAATATCTTCGATATGGAGGCGATCACTGTGGCTGCCCGTATGCATGTTCATACATATGTCTGTGAGAGTTGTAGATACGAATAATGATATTCTTTTGGGGCCATTGCATAATTAGTGTAATCTCTTCAGCTTGCACCCCTCTTTTTTCCGCTTTCTTCTCGAACTCAACTCTCTTCCTCTTTGGCTCTCTATCTTTCTTTTCCCAAAGTGTTGCATGCAGGAGGCCCAAATCAATTATGAACAGCCATTTGTTATGCAAGGCCATGGAAGGTTTTCTTGCACATTTTCTCCACTGCTCGGGGTTCTTGATCTGTGATCTTAAGAATGAGAAAAAAGAATGCTGCTAAGCTGACAGAAGAATTGCCCGCTTCTTGTGTGCTTCTTTTATTATTTGGAATACTTTCTAAGTCAACGACAGCATTTAGAATTTATCTAGTACTTGCGCACACACGGTACACGAATACCGATACATAAAGTTTACTTTGTCATTGCGCGTTTCTGTCTTCAATTCTTCTAGATGTGCTCCATCGTCTTTTTCAGCGTTCTTCTGCTTCTATTCTATTCTATACCATTCCATAGCCGTCCGCAAATATGCTCACAAATATTAAATTCTGTATGGTATGGTATGTCTGTGTGTATAGTAAAAACCCACCATCCACCGTACACCACCCACCTCCCACTGCCCCCTTGTAAGTTGGGTCGTTCGTGTGCGGTGTATAAATTTTCTGTGGAACTGTACAATAGCTAAAATAATCATAAAAAAGAAATAACAAAGTTTTAAGTCTCACAGTGTGAGTGGAGGTAAACCAACAAGCAAAGCCAAAGGCAACCAAAACCAACACACATGTCTCTTTTCTCTGGGATATTATATGGGATAGTAAGTGTAAGTATAAGCAGTGTGTATTTGCTTTTCTCGACGCGACTTCTTGAATAGTTATACCCGTTACTCGTAGAGTAAAAGGGTATATTAGATTCGTGCAAAAGTATGTAACAGGTAGAAGGAAGCGTTTCCGACCCTATAAACTATATATATTCTTGATCGGGATCACTAGCCGAGTCGATCTAGCCATGTCCGTCTGTCCGTCTGTCTGTCCGTCTGTCTGTCTGTCTGTCTGTCTGTCTGTCTGTCTGTCTGTCTGTCTGTCTGTATGAACGCTGAGATCTCGGAAACTATAAAAGCTAGAAGATTGACATTTTGCATGCAGATTCTAGGAGTTCCAACGCAGCGCAAGTTTATTTCAAAAGGGTGCCACGCCCCCTCTAACGCCCATAATCGCTTATATACGATTTTAAAAATTTCAATATTTTGGAAAAGTAAAAATGCAGTTTTATTGTGTTTATCAATACCTATCGAAATGTAGAAGCAATTTTTTAAATCGGACCATTCGTTAAAAAGTTACGGCGGATCAAAGTTTTTCTCCATCTCTTTCGCACTCCCTTTAGCTGAGTAACGGGTATCTGATAGTCGGGGCACCCGACTATAGCGTTCTCTCTTGTTGTGGAGTAGAGTCGTTCAGTTCAGTTCAGTTGAGTTCGGTTCGGTTTCGAGTTCGGGTTCGTTGGGGTTCGTTTTAAGGTTCGTGTTGGGGCTCGCCTCGGTTCGTTTGAAGCTTCGACTTCTTCGGCTCGGCGGCCTGCTCTACGAAATCTTCTCTCTCTCCTAGCCTTGTCTTGTGTGCAGAAACAGAAATCTCGAGTTTCTTGACTTTTCTGCCTGCTTTTCCGCTCGACTCTTACGCACTAACCACCTCCCCACCGCCTTCCCACTTCTCTCATAAGTAATAAGCATTTCGTTTGTTATAAAGTTTTTTCTTTTTTTTTTATATATTTCCTCATACACATGTGTGTAAAACCGCGACGTTTCCCACCACCATTCCAACATCACGCGCCTTTATATGGGTTCCCATTTTATTTAATTTTTATTTTAAACTTTAAACAATGTCTGGCTCTGACTTGAAATGGTAATTGATAGATAGAGGTGGTGGCCAGAGGGGTAGCTCCATATGCGGGCCTCTTACAGACATGGAAACTATTCATATACAGTCGAACTTCCATAATTCCAACCACCATCGCCATCTGTCTCATAAAAATTCAAGTTTCTTTTAAAGATTATTTATGGAACGCAAACAAGTTTTGTTTCTCGAATTATTTGTAATAAAAAAAGTGGTTCCAGTTTTAATAGTATACAAACGCTTTGACTTTGACATTTTTGTACTTTGAATTCGTTATAAAGTTACAATAATAAATTAATATTGGAATTAAGCTTAAGCAAGGACTTTCAAATATTACTTAGGCCCAAAAATATTAGTTTCCTTACATAAAATCAGGTAGTACCGCAAACAGTATGCAATGAATTTTATAAACTGAGGTTCAGATGTTGTGTTAGATGCTATTACATATTTAAATTTTATGAAGTTAATTTCTTCATAAGGATATAGATCTATAGATCCTTTAAAGGATATTCACAATTATGATCTGAAAGTACAAATTTCGTATTCCTTATATTAAGATTCTTTGGTTGGAGTTACAGAAGCTCGACTGTGTTCTCTTATCTACCTATGCATTATGTTTCTTCAAGGAGTGGGAGGGGTGAAGGGGGGGCTTAGTACTCGTTGTACAAATATGTATTGCAAATTGCTTTGGTAAAAAGCAGTTCCAGTTTCCAGGTGCTATTCCCCTCTCTTTTGCGCTCTCGCTCTCTGTGCATCATTATGCGAGAGCTTATTCTTGTTCTCTTTCCATGCAGATGGGGGGAAAACAGAGAGAGATCGCGCAGAAGATCAAAACAGAATTTCAATTTGCAAACTCATGTGCCTAGGATTCTTAAACCATTCCCCCCCCCCTGTGAATTTTTTTTTCTTTTTTGGATATGAATTTTTTGCAAAAAGTTCTCGGGAGAAGAAACTGGTTGAGAATTTTTGCATTCCGTTGCTGAACTTGAATTGCATTTGGAATTTGTTCGTAGTTCTCTGAGCTGTGTGTTCCACGCATTTTCCATTTCCGTTCGTTCACCTTGTTCTTTTCTAGTAGTTGTAAGGGGAGGGCGGTGGGGGATAGAGTTAAATGGAATGGTAACGTCGATAGTTCGATGACTTTTTGCCGCTGGCTTATCGATGACGCTGGTGATTTATTGATCGAGATGCGTTTATCGATGGAGCGAATATGGCAAACTGAAACTTAATTGCTTAACTAAATTACAGCAATTTTTCCCATTCCATAATGAGCGAAAGAGACCGAGCATGAATTTATCGTACTTTGTGTGCTTTGTCTTCCGCCCTATCTCCGCTGTAGACCCCTCTAAACCCCGTCAACCCTCTCAACCCCCCCATTCCAAACTTTTGTAGATATAAAGTTTTATTTCATTTCGTTTCGTTACGATTTTTGCTATTATTATTTGTTCGTGTCTCTCTGTCATTGTATCTGTGAGATACCTCTGTAACTGTGTGTGTATGAATGTTATTTTTTAGTTTCGACTTGTTTTCTTTTGTGTAATTTTATTTTTATATGTGCCTGTGTGTGTGTGTATCAAGTTCATAACTTTTGTATGGCGGCTACGACAGTAAGAATTGTTTTGTTGTTTTTGTTGAAATCCACACAATAAATATACGTATGTATCTTTGTGTGTACGGAACGGGCAAGGAGTGTGTATGTTTGTATCTGTGTGCCATTGTGTTGTCTGTATGTTTTCTTATTTTTTTTATTTTTCACATTTATTTTCTAGTTTGCTCGCTCGTTGTTTTGTTAACTCTTATTTAGTTTTCTTTGCGTCTTGAGCGTTTCTCTGTCTTCGTATGATACGTCTATGTATATATTCTTTTTTTCCGTACCGTACACACATTTTTCGTTTATGCCCCATTATTAATAAATAGTTTTCTTGTTTCTGCTCTGCATTCCCATTTCAGTTTACCAAACGTCGTCGGTACAATCGGAACGTTCCGTTCCTGCGTTTCAGTTCTTCCTTTCCGTTCGTTCCGCGCGCTCCTCTCTCGCGTGAGAGAGAGTGCTGCCACTTGTTGCCGGCTCGGCTTGGGGACACTCTCTCTTCCCATTCCATCATTCCATCGAAGCACGGATACGATAACGCTACCGATTGATCCAATCCGATCGGATCCGATCTGTTCGATCCACATCCACCCACTACCGGCGGAGATTTGGAAGCAGTAGACGCCTGAACCATTGGAAGAGGCATGCAGTTGATGGCCAGCGGTTACTCCTGCAGCAGCTCCATCTCCTTCAGATCCTTCAGTTCCAGTTCCCTCCGGTCCAAACTCTCGCGATGGAGAGCGATGAACAGCAGCAGGAGGTTGTGGGCGGAAGTGCACCGTTATGTCGCATCTGCATCACCACCCACCATCAGCAGCCGAACAACAACACCAACAACACGACAGCATCCCCAGCCAACCTGCCAATGATACCCATCTTCGGGGAGGATGCGCTCTGGCAGAAGATTACCACGCTGGCCAACGTCAAGGTGAGTGGAAAGAGCGAAATGGGGAGCAATCTTAGCACTAAGACGTCGGAAGCGAATAGGTAGAATAGGTAGAACCGAAGGTCAAGAACTGCAGACAGTGGTAACTCGTCAAATGAAATATTATTCTTAATAATATATCATTTATGGGAACTACCAAGCGGAAAACAAGAAAAACTTGTATAATATCTGTTCTATACCATTTTGTTGTTCATAATCAATCTTAGATTTCAAAATGTACCCACCTAGTCAAAGTAAACCAGCTTAAGTTTATTGGGTTTGTAGAACAGAACTTGTAGTTCTCTCCATTTACATAGCCCCCTTATCATCCTGAGAACGTTTACCATCTCTTTGATAAGGAAATTTTTAGGGCTGCTTTCATAATGGCTGATTAAAATAGACGCTATAATAATAAAATAGCACGTGTTTTAGTACAGCTGAGTACGTTAAAATTCATGGAAATTTTCTGTTTAAAAAGACGTTTTCATAAGGCTAAGGATTTTAGCTAGCGACCACTGTACTTATTGATTTTAATGTTTAGCTGCGAATGGCTTGTTTTCTCTTCTATCCCATTGAATCTGAAGAGCTTTTGCAAGCTGTTTGCATATAAAATCGATCCTAATTTGTATTCCATACAAGAGCGCTTAGAATATATCAAAACACATTCTCCACTACAGGCAGGAAGTTAATTTTTTATTTTTATCTTATTTGGCAAATACATAGTTGAATGGGTGGACCGAAGTGAAACATCTTTTTTGGGTTGGGGGTCTATATTTATTTTTAACGAGGTGTGTCGAAGACTATTTGAGCCCACTGTTTTGTGTGTAATCCAAGATTGTTGTTGTATTTTTCTTCGTGGAATACTAAAACTAAAATAAAAAAAAAGCAAACACATGAAAGTTATTCACACCAACACAGGGGCACTCTGCGTATTTATTATTCATATTAATTTTCATACACATTCGCCGTACATATAAGTATGTACGTATTATTATATCTTGTATATCCCATATGTGTGTGTAATTTGGAATCAGTTTTCATTGCTTTGTCTTGTTGCTCCACTCCTCTTTGGCCATTTATTCTGTTTATTTGTTCGGTGGAATGGTTTCGGCTTCGGCTTTGGTTAGTTTATTTTATTCATATTGTGTATTGTGTATACAATTTTTTCCAACGAGCGTTTCATATTTTTTCCATCGCCGCTCGATGGAATTTCTTGGGGCTCTGGCTCCCTTGTCTTCTTGTATTTTGTATTTCTTCATTCATTTCATTTCGTTTCGTTTCTCGGCTTCTTTGGCTTTTGTAAAATAATTTACCGTTTGAATTGCTGTGTTTAGAAGTGTTTGTTTTTGTTGTTGTCGTCGGTATGTCGGTATGTATGTGCTTGGCTTAATTCCATACATTTTTCCTTTACTTAACTTTACAATCTTGGCTCTCTTGACTCTCTTTCGCCAGCTCCTCCTAATCTTTGTCGCTCTCCTACACAAAAAGAAAAACAGATAATACAATGTAAAAATTACATACTCAATTATCATTATTCTCAATCATAATTTATGATATTAAACTGAAGAAAAAATGAACAAATTCATTGGAGACTAGTGGGATTTGAACTCGAGCTTTGAAATGATGACAAATGATAAACAATTGGATTTCATAATGGAGCCACTATTTCTTTTTTTTTCTTCTGTGTATTTGCTCTTTGCCCATTTCCCACTTTATGTTCGGCTTAGACGTTCGTTGGCCCCTCCATTCTGGGGCGAAGTAAGGGGTGAAGTAGGGGGCGAGGAAGGGGTTGGAGGTGGCACGTGAATGTGAATGGGGTGGCTCTGTGTGTTTTCGTTTTCTCGCCCGTGTGTCTTCGCCCTCATATTCGCATTGGTGTTTTTACAAATTCATGTGCATATTTCAATTTGATTTTCTCGTTATGTGTTTTTCCTCCTCAACCGTTGAAATGCTGCAATTTTCTGGTTTATTTCTGCAATTTTCCCACTTGAGTAGATTATGTTGCCAATTCAAGGAATTTTATGTTATGTCTTGGGGCAATCTGGCAACGCTCGGAAATCAGGAAACCGTTATTTGGGGAGAATGAAAACAGAATGGTCCTTTAATAAAATTTTGAATTTGTATTATAATTAAGATTGAATTTGGGAGTTGGCCATTTCCGTTTGGGGCTATGAGTAATAACAGTGATTCATCAAGAACTACATATATTAACTTTGGGTGACTATTTTTCAACGATATGGCAATCCTGCTAGCCGTTACATTTGACCAAGGTGAACATTGAATTTAAAAACCGTTCTTATTTAAAAAAAAACATCATTAAAACATTAAAACTTAAAATGAAGCTTTCGGTATAGAATTTAAGGTACAAAGATAAACTTTACAATAGTTAGTATGCAATTTATACTACAGAGTAACGTAATATTATTTAGTAAAATATTTTTAAAGCAACGAGTGTTAAAAATTGTGTTTTTTGTTTTCTTTTGGGTGCAGATCAGCAAGAACGACACTCTACCGCAACAGGTGTGCGTCGCCTGTGCCAAGTCGGCTATTTCGGCCTGCGTGTTCAAGAAGAAGTGCGAGGAGGCGGACCATTTTTACCGCCAGCAACTGAGGCTCCAGAAGATCGAGGGCGCGGATCCGCTGGAGACGAGCGCCTCCGCCGGCGACCAGGCCAAAAGCAGCGGCTGCAGCAGCGGCAGCGGGAGCAGCAGCGCCAGCGGCAGTGGCAGCGGCAGTTCCTCCAGCAGCAGTTCCTCCTCCGACGACGAGGACGAGGACAATGATCAGGATCAAGAGCAGGATCAGGAACAGGAACTGGATGAAGTGGAGGCCGGGGAGGCTGGCCACAAGCGGCTGCAGAATGGCTACAGCCCGGTTATCAATGGCCATCGAGGTGATGGCGTTCAGGAGGAGGAGCTGATGGATGACCATCATCACGCAGCTGGCCACGAAGAGGAGGAACAGGATGAGCAGGATCACCATCGCAATGGGCTGGAGTTGGCGGAGGTAAATCCCGAGGATGAGGACGATGACGACGTGGAGGAGGTAAATCCAATGAACCACCACCATCACCACCACGATAATAACGACGACGATGGCGAAATAACCGGCCATGCCGGGCATCCCAAGGAACCGTTCGACTTCAACTCGATTCGCCTGATGCAGGAGTACATGCAGCATCAGATGAACAAGTTCCCCAATGGCTCCGCCGCCGGTGGTCACCCGGATATGGAGCTCGATCTCGACCAGCAGCAGCATCATCATCATCATCATGATGACGATGACGAGGACATGTCGCTGCCGCTGATACCCGAGATCGAGTTGATCACACCGGGCGATGAGGCGCCAGCGGATGCCTCGAATCACAATGACTTGGACTTGGTCAATGGCGTGGGCGTGGGTGTGGGCGTGGTCCAGGGGATGCGGGGACCGGGCTTCCAGTGCCCCCACTGCTATCAGATCTTCGAGATGAAGCAGATCCTCAAGGCGCACATGCAGAGTGTCCATGGAGCACCGGGACCGGTGTACGAGTGCAGCAACTGCCGCAAGACCTATTTCTACAAGCGTTTCCTCGAGAAGCACATACGACGTGGTCGCTGTGTGAAGAAGCGTCGCAATCAAACGTGAGTTTTGGATTGATTCCTTACCTACAGATTGTATTTAAACTTGATCTCTTTTTCAGTCGGCCCATGCAGTGCTCCGATTGTCATGTCCTCTTCCCCACGGGCCACCATTTGGGCTGGCATAAGCGCACCGGCTGCCCCTCGAAGGCGGCCAAAATGTGAGTGTTTGGAGCTTGGAATGATGAGAAATGCTGATTACCTGATTTATTTCGCACCAATTTAGGCCCCTGCAGCAGCTTTTCAAGCAGAACATTGTGCAGTTCAACAATTTCCCCAAGCGGATTGCCGCCGGCGGAGGAGGAGGAGGAGGAGGGGGAGCGGCACGCAAACCAACGGCTCCCGAGCTGCACATCAACAATCGCAAGTGGGTTTTCACGAAATATATTGTAGTTATCCATGTGACTTTAACGTATCTTTCGCCCCCGCAGACTGGGCTTGGCCAACAAGCGAAAGGGACGCACTCGCATCAAGCTGGACGCCAAGAAGATTGCCCTGGCCAAGCAGTTGATACTGCGCGAGGCCACCACCACGGTGATTGCCAACGAGCTGAACATCTCGCGCACCTTCGCCTGGCGCCTGCGCAAAAGCCTGGTCAACGGTGTCAGTCTGCATGAGCGCGTCGTGGATCCCTCGCAGGAGGAGCAGCACCTGCAACAGCTGCAGCAGCAGCAGCATCATCACCATCAGCAGTTGCAATTGCAGCAGCAGGAGGAACAGCAACAGCAGCAACGCGAACGGGAACAACATCACTTGAGCAGCCTTCCCTACAGCCACCTTGGCCTGGGTCTCATCAAAGAGGAGCGGCAGGACAGCGAGGATGAGGAGCAGCAGCAGCAGCAGCGGCAGCATCACCATCACTCGCTCGGTCTGGTGGACGAGTGCGGAGCGGATGAGATTGGGGCCGAGGAAACGGCTGGCTATATGGGCGATGAGGATGCCGTGAGCGGCCTGCTCCACAATGGAGGCTACGACCCGGATCCCGATTCCGATCCCATCGAGCACGATCCCTTCGAGGGCACCGAGAACCATGAGCATCCTGCGAACGGTTCGGTTTCGCCCGCAGCGAAACTTGTGCCGCCATCGGGGGTTCCGGTACCGGTGCCTGTTCAGGTCCATGCTGCTGCCGCCGCCGCCGCCGCCGCTCGGAGCGATGTGGAGGTCTACAAGCGGCTGCTGGCCGAGTCGCAGCACTTTCCCCACATCGTCAACGCCCAGCAGTTGCAGATGCAGCAGCAGCACCGCGAGCGGGAGAGGGAGCAGCGGGATCGCGAGCGGGCAAGGGAAAGGGAGAGGGAAAGGGAGCAACTGCAGCAGCAGCAGAAGGTCCACAACGGTGGAATGCCGATGCTCACTCGTTATCCGCCCGCCGTCATGTAAGTTTATTTTCGGTCATTTAAGAACATTTAAGATTAAATAAGCTAGCAGGTTATTTTATAGTTGCTAGCCATCTATAGTATTTGAGAAACCATAAATGTATAAATACTCTTATCTTACCATTAGTCATAAATATTTCAGCTTAAATAATATGATTAGCAATCGGTCCTATCAAAAATATACTTAAATATGTATGAAGGCCAATCGTGGTCAACCGGAAAATGTTTACAAATTTATTTATAAAGCAATTAGCAAGAGATTATCATAATTTTGAATTTGTTTAACTGTTTATTTTATTTATTGAATATTTTGTATGAAACCTTAGAGAAAGCAATCGTTAAAAAAGAGATAGGTAGAGATAAGATACAATTTAAATTAGTTTGCAGATCTTATCGTGATTCTTTTTTATTCTTTTATTCCATATGCAATAGGCACGCCCTGCCCGTCAACCTGTCCCTGCGCTCCATGCCCCCCCACATGAATAGCAACGAGAGGTGAGTTGATTACTTGTTTCAATAGAACCATCTTTAATAATACAACAATAAATCTCCTGCGCAGCAACGGCAGCTCCAGCAGCAACACGGCGGCCCCAGTTCCCGTTCCTGTTGCCGGCTCATCGGCAGCCACCTCGACTGGCGCCACGCCGACTGGCAAGAAGCCCCGCAAGCCGAACGTTTTCATCGACGACGAGAAGTACGCCATGGCCAAGTTGTTGGTGGCCCAGAACTCCTCCACCATGGAGATAGCCAGGGCCCTCAATGTATCCCAAATGACGGCCTGGAAGGTGCGCGATGCCATTCTCAAGGGAGTGCCGCTCTCCTATCGCAACAAGCGATCCGATGGCAGGCATTCGGAGGAGTTTAGCGTCAAGGAGCAGCAGCAGCAACAGCAGCAACAACAGGAGCAACAGCAACGCCAACAGGAGATGCAGCGACAGCAGCAACAGCAAATGGAACAAATGGAGCTAATCAAACAGCAGCGTCAGCAACAGGAGTTGCTACTCCAGCAGCAGCAGCAACAGCAACAGCAGCAGCAACAACAGCAGCAGCAGCAGCAACAACAACTGCGTCATCACAGCACACCGGCGGACACATCACACTATCAGCAACAGGCGGCGCCAAAGATGCTGCATCCTCGCCGCCGCCTAAAAGCAGCGGAACGCGAGCTGCGCGACAAGGAGATCACACGCGAAATACTCGAGCTGATCAAGGAGGACAGCAATATACAGTACTGGAAGGTGTCGGCTCGCCTGGCCGAGAAGGGCATCAATATATCGCCCTCGTCCGTCTGCCAGAAGCTCAAGTCGATGGGCATCCACCGGCGCTGGAAGCCGGGCGACAAGCCACCCATGCTGGCGATAAGTCAGCTCAAAGCGGCCACTGTGGCGGCCGCAGCGGCGGCAGCTGGCCTGGCCGGCGTCGGCGGAAGCGCCGGATTGGCCGGCAACAGCTTTGGCCTGGCAGACGACGGCTACGAGCAGCAGCAGTTCGACATGGGCGGGCACTTTCTCAGTGCCTTTACGCGCTAGACCAGAAGTCCTGCCCATCTGGGCCTACATTTAAATACTACAGTGGATTGTAGGCATCGTAGGCATCATTTGACTGGGAAATTGTAGGTCTAAAGAGCTGAGTTTTAAGTTATTGAAGCCTTTGAGGGTTGATTTTGGTTTAAGATACATTTCTTTTATGAACAAAATTATAAGTAGCCAATATAAAAATAATTCTACTCGGCAGCTGTTTAGTTTTATGTTGAATGTCATTGAGAAATTCATTGCAGATCTACCATTTCCCAGGCGAAATGCCTAGAAATTTGCCCACAATTACCACTGTGAGTTTAACATATATACATTTTTGTTTTTCGAGCCACCCTAATCCATATGCATAGACCAGCACAGCAACAACAAGGTGTATTTTTTATATAGTATTTGAAAGAGAGAGAGCGCGCTTGAAATGTATTTGTATTTGTAATCGTTATGAGATAGCATATATTGTATGATTCTGTATTAGATTTATATATCCAATATATATGCTAAGCATTCCTAGAATGTCACACACACACACACAAAGAAAATGAAAAAGAAAAACGCCCATTCCAAGCGAGGAAATGATTTCCTTTCTTTAAGTTCAGTAGCTTCCTTTTCCTCTTCCTCCATCCACACACACACACACAAACACACTTAGCTGATAATGTAATAATTTAATTAACATATTTATTGATCGTATGTCCTTGTGAGTGTGTGTGTGTGCGCTTTAACTGAGAAATGTATTTAAAGATTTTCACCATTTTTAATTTATTTATTTTACTCACGCATACACACACACACACATATAAGCAATTATTCAGTACTGAACTTTAATTTAGTTAAATTAATGCATCAAACGAAGAAATAACAATCAGAACAAAGCAAACGGAAGCAGAACAAACAGCAGCTAGAGAGAAAGTTAAGAAAGCTAGCAACATAAGTGCAATTATAAACTACATGTGTAAACCTAAAGAACCAGAAGAATGTAAAATGTTTTACGTGTGACCGAAATAGAAGATAGGAGAGCGAGAGAAGGGGAGAAAGAGAGGGAAAATTGTCTATCCAATTTAAGACCTTAGCACCACTGAACATTTTAGAACCAACTTTCATATCTTCAGATATCCTAAACTAAAAGATATCTTCATTTTAAAACGCTAACTGATGAAAAACTTGTGTTTTTTGGTTAAAAGTGTAGAAAGAAATGTTCAAATTTAAAATAAGTTTAGGTCAATTAAAACAACATTTAGTTTTTACTTTAGAACGACTTTTATACATTCCCAAAGACATACCAAAATTTTGTTTAGCACTATAAACAGGCTGAAAATCGAAACATCACCCACAAAAAGTTTGTTTTTTGTGTGTGTTTACAGTGGTGTTGAGCCATTAGTTAATAACTTTGATTGGGAGAACCAATTTAAGGTTTACACTTCACTCCCCAACTTTCCTCCTCTTCTTTCTCCTGGTCGTTTTCCATATAGACAGCTACTCCGAATCCATCCTCCCAACCAAGCCCCAATTTATGTAAGAAAGCTATGGAAACAAGGCAAACGATCAATTTTTGAAAACGTCGTAGCAAATTGTTAGTTAAAAATGAGAAGAAAACTAAATAACACAAAAGATCAAAAGAAAAAAGATGGAAAAATATGAAGACAAGCTGAGGACTCAGAACTGTATTTATTTACAGTCAATTTTAGGAACATTTATTTTATTATTATTATTTTTTTGTTGTTGTGGATGAAATTCTATTCGTCTGCGATTTATTTTTGTATAGCTTTTAAGGTCCGAAGTTAGAGCAAAAGAGATAGCAAGAGAGAGCGAGTGAAGGTTGATATAGTATTTTTTTTATATTTTTGTACAATTTGAAATTGTAACTGCTTTTTATCAATCAATCAATGAATGATTCCCTCCCTCCACCAACCCACACACACACACATACACACGCATACTGTGCAAAGTATTTTCTATATTCATTACATATAAATATATCCATATATAACTAAACTAAATTTATAAAATAGTTTTTTTGTTGTTTTTTTTTTTACATCATATATATATTTAGCCGCAGCTTATAAAATAGATTTAAAAATAAAAAATGATTACAATTTTTTTGTATGAAATGCAAAGAATGATGTCTATGAAATATAATTTACTATACATAAATATACATATATTTTAAAGCGTATAATAGTAAGGATCCATTGCAAGCAGCATCAACAAATAGAACTGACGTGCCTATGTAGCGATTAAATCTGACTAAACACCCACACACGGATACACCCAAAATACACACACACACATACACCTAGAGACAAGCCGATGTAATGCATTAATAATCATTCCAAAATGTCATATGAAGGAAAAGAAACGAAAAAAAACAAGCAACATTGTATATTTTTAAATGAATAAATAATATTTCAAGAAAATGTTGAAGTTTCAATTCGATTGGGGGAAATGTATTTCTTTGATTCCATTATTTAAAATCTAAAGATACAAGAGCTTGAGACTTTTCTGAGTGCAAAGCACTCTGTCTTTATTTATGGTTCCTAAAAGAAGGCAATATCTTCTTGAACTGCGTAGCGAAAGAAAAGCTTTCGCAAATTGTTTGTGTAACCTATACATTATTATAGTATATATAATATTTCCATTCTTACGGTCAAAAAAAATTGTGGAAAATTGAGATCGAGTTTTTTGGTAAAAATTTGAATTTCTTCTGTTTGTTTTTTTGCTGTAACTTGGCCAAAAATTGTCCTACGCCAAAAATACATACTGTTTTGAACAGATAACAAAATAATAAATAAATCCATAACACTTTCCGGGTGATCTTGAAAAAATAAAATTTTCGCCAATTTTCCATTTTTTTGTAAGGGGGTACATCATGATTTTTTACGAAAAATGGCAAAAAAAATAAAATGTCCAGGTCTAAATGCCAATCGATTGGAAATTTAATAACGAGCTCAGAAAGGTATGACAATCCGTATTTGGATAAATACTTCCATTGTTACGGTCAAAAAAGAAATTATTTTTTGTGAAAAATTGGATCCTGTTGTAAAAACAAAGAATTTTTAAATAAAAGAAAAATCTGAAACCCATAAGTCAGTAGCGTCTTTGCAAATGTCTAGAAACTTTGTCGCATAACATTTCTTCAACAGTTTTTGGATTTTTCCTTAGAGATTTATGTGACACCAAAAAATCTTTTGTATTTTCCAACAAATTTCTTTATCTATGGCATTTCAATTTCGAGAGAGGAACTTTTTTATTATTAATATTTCACATAATGACGCAAATCAACATTGCTAATCTATTTTTATGGTTCCTCTTTTATTAGAACTGGTGCACGTGTTGATCCATCTCGAAACCTATACATTGTATCATATATTTTTGCTGTATTTTTTGCTATACTTATTTGTCGGCAAATTTCTTTGAGACATGCACGTTCAATTCTGTTTAGTTTAGGTACTTTGTACTTTTGTTGAATCTGTGAGTCTGCGGATCTGGGCAATGTATTTATTTAATTAACGCTAATTCTGGCCTGTTGGCCGGCTCCTCGGTCCTAGTCAATATTTTTCATTCAAATAAACATGAGCAAATAAACATTAGCCAAGTCGCGTGTTCTATTCGAAATCCGCAGATGCGCGACTGATTAAACCGATCTTGAATGGAATTGAATTTTAGTTAGATATTCAATAACCCCCCAGGTTCCAATGAAAAACGACTTATTTGTGGTTTGTTCTTTTTTTGTTTATTAGTTTTTTGTTGTATATATGTAGCGTAACTTGTAATAACGTAACTAAATTTTACAAATATTCTTTCACTTCCTGTGCTTTGGTCCTACATGACGAAAAAAAAAAACAAAAAAAATTTTGGTTTTGATATATGTTTAATATATAGATAAAGTTATATACGTATGTGTTTTACATTGGATGCATTAATAATAGCAATAATAACAACAATAACGGACAGCAGGGTGGCGAGAACGATAGCGATACTATAGACCTCCCATAAGATTATTTTGGGTTCTGCTTCTCGGGTCTTTATCTTTATCTGTATCTTTACCGTTACCCAGCCCCTCTGCTGCTGCTTCAGCCGGCGCCGGCGCTTGCCAAATATATATATTACTCTCTACATATCGTACATAAACATATTCATCGATTTGCATCGATCCTACCTGCTATATCTTCTCGCTGGCTTGGGGTTTTCTTTGCTTATCAGTTTGGTATGCCCGTTTCTGATTTTGGTTGGTTCGTTTAAATTCCAAATAGTTAGATAGATATTTTCGTAGGGGTGGGGAAGGGGAGAGGGGGGCTTTTAAAATTAGACACACAAAGAAAATCGTTATCGCTATCGTTAAATAATTACTGACGATACAAATAATCGTGTATTGTAGCACACACATACCATATATACACAGATAAACCCCGATCCTCTGGCGGGATTGGGGCGAATGGAAATTACTTGAGGGGAGGGGCATTCTATGGCTGATTTTTTGAAGGGGAAAGTGTTTGAACTCTTTAAAAATCCTTGTTAAGTTGATATTTGTAGGTTGGAAAAAAAAACTTTTTCTTTGTGACATGAAAAAGTATCAAAATCTCAACTCAAAGCAAGGCAAATGGTTTTGATTCTATGGGTCTTTTTGTAATCTGGGTGTACGGGAGCTATCGTTAGTTATTTAGGCACATCTAATTGAGTTCCTTGCGCGTCGTATTGGGTAAGAGGAGGCACATGAGACCGCCGCCAATGAGCAGACCCGACACAATGAACGTGGGCGAGGGACAGTAGTTGTCCAGCAGCTGGGCGATCACGATGTTGCCAATGATGCCGCCCAGGCGGGCGGCCACCATCGAAATGGCCACGCCGGTGGCCCTCAGCTTGGTGGGGAATACTTCGGTGATGAGGCAGTCCAGGGCGGCATTGGCCGCCGAAATGGCGCCACTGAAGATGGCCGAGACGACGAGATTCTGGACGGAGTTGCGCACAAAGTACATCAGCGCCGAGCAGATGCCGGCGGTCATGGTGCCGGCGATCAGGAAGAACTTCCTGCCCAGCATGTCCATGCCGAGGATGGCCAGCAGATTGGCGGGCAGGGCGCTGGCCAGCGATATCAGCGACTCCATGAACACCGACTGCGGAATATCCGAGACGCAGGTGCCGTTCTTGCTCTGATCGTGACCCAATTGGACCACATAGTCGGTGACGTCGCAAACGCTCGCCGAGTTGTGGGGGAATTCCTTCTCGTACTCCTCGAAGCGATTGAAGAGCTCCGGGAACCACATCAGTAGGCCGTAGTAGCCAATGTGGAATGTAAAGTTGATCGTGATCGAGACGATGGTGAATCGCAGGATGGGCGACTTGAACAAGGCGCGGCTGTGGTCGACCATTCCGGAGATCATGCGGCTGTACTTGTTCTTCACACTGCCGTTGCTCTCCAGCAGCTTCTCGTCGACCTCCAGGTCGTAGACCATGTACTCGTCGGGACGACGCTTCGTGTTCGTCACGAAAATGCCACGGAAAATGGCCAGGGCGCGATCCTTCTTGCCGCGCGTCAACAGGAATTTCGGCGATTCGGGCAGATAGAAGAGCAGGAAGCCCACCAGGAACGAGGGCAGTGAGCAGACCAGCAGGAAGATCCTCCACGAGTTGTAGGTGAAGTACGGCGTCGTCACGCCGATCGTTCGCGGTATGATCAGCCAGGCCAGGCTGGCCACGAACAGGTTGCCGAACGTCCAGAAGGCGGCCATGAAGCTCAGCATGGAGCCGCGCTTCGCCTTCGGTTGGAATTCGGCGAAGTACGACCAGATCACAGGACCGCTGCCGCCCAAACTGCAAGGAAACGTGGAATTTGTTATCGATGCGTAATCGTAAGTGTATCGAAAATAAATCGAAGCTATCTATCTATGTGGTTACTGATTACTCGTTGCTGTTTCAATGGATTTAATGTCCTTAAAAAATTATTTGACCTATCGATTAAATCTATCGCTTAAATCGATAATTGATATTTGCTCTGATTTAATATGCCTTTTTTATGTATTGCGTATACGCAATTTTTCGGAATAAACATTAAGTATACGCACTGTATACCACATATTACAACAAAATATTTTACAATTTTGAATGCCTTTCGATAATTATAAACAAGCAAAAAATGTGTAGCCACCAATACAAAGAACAACCAATATGGCAATTGCGAAATAATTGTTGTCAGTTCGCTGGGGTAATTAGCAAACGATTGGCAAAAATGTTAAAAAATATGGGTGAGCTTGAGGGGAAACCGGTGACTAAGCGTCAATGTAACCCAAAATCAGGGGGGCCAAGGCCTGAACTGAGATTTTCCATTTGCTTGTGGTGCTTTTGGCTTGACTTTTTCGTGTTTTCGTTCGTTCGTTACATTTTTCGGGGCATTTCGATCGGACCTGGGGATTCGAACCTTTAATTAGCATAAACAGTCACGATATTGCGGCTCAAATATTTTGTTGTTATTTATAACAGAGGTAATTGAATTAACACTTTGCCCCGGGTCCGGGCCCGTGTGTCACTCGATCCACACAAATCATCGATCGCAGAGCGATGATCCATGGCTACGGAGCATAGAGCGGTAAGATCACCTCATCGATGGGCTATTTTTGCAGGCCAACGAGGCTCGGAAAAAAAGAAGAATATCATAGAGAATATCTATAGAGTATCTAATAAAAAAAACTGGAAACTAATGGGATGTAATAAAGATATTATAGAGAACTGTAAACAAATTTGATATCATAAAGAACTGAAAACTAATGGGCTATTATAATGAGCTGAAAACTAATAAGGATATGATAAAGATTTTATAAAGAACTGAAAACTATTATGATATTATGCAGATATTATAGAGAACTGGAAACTAATTTGATATCATAAAGAACTGAAAACTAATGGGATATTATAATGGACTGAAAACTAATAAGGATATGATAAATATATCATAAAGAACTGAAAACTAATGGAAAATTATAATGAACTAAAAACTAACAGGATATCATTAAGATATCATAAAGAACTGAAAACTAATAGGCTATCTTAAAGATATAATAGGGATCTGACTTAATAGCATTACTGATTTTCTTCTTATAAGTTGTAGTTTTAAATATTTCCGAGTTATCAAAATAGACTACTTACGCTGCACCATTGAGGAACCGGAAGAGCATGAAGAAGCTGTAGGACTGCGAGAAGGACGAGGCGACGATGCAGAAGGCGTTCATGAACGAGATGACGATGAGGACCTTCTTGCGACCGAAGCTGTCGGCGATGCTGCCCCAGAAGTAGGCGCCCACCATCATGCCGATGAAGATGATCGAGTTCAGCCATCCCTTGGTCTCCGTATTCAGATTCAGATCACACTCCGCCGACGGCAGGATGAAGGACATCGAGATGACGTCCATTTCCTCCGATGTGCTGACCAATCCGCAGATGGCCAGCAGTATATAATGGAACTTGCCATAGCCGCACAATTCGATGGCCCTCTCGAAATTGGCGCATATCGGAGCGGTCGGTTCCGGCAAGGGTATGGACTTCTTCCGGCCCTTTCCCACCTTGCCCTTGCCATGACCCCCGTGACCCCCGTGACCCCCGTTATCGGGGGCGTCCCGCTCTACGTCCTGCTGCTTGCCATTGCTGGCATGGCTATCGGGCTCGTATGCCCGATTGTCCGCCGCGAACTGATACTCCGGCTGCTTGGCTCCTTGGCCCAAGGAGTACGGCTGGATGATCGCTCGGTTGTCGATGTGCGAGGTCGCGTTGCCGGTGGCTGAGGAGTTAGCCAGTTGGCCAGTGGGATGGTTGCTTGCTTGGTTGCTTGCTGCGCTCTGGTTGTAGTTTGGTTGTAGTCCAGCTTCTACATTATAGGCTATACGAAAGTTGAAGGTAAATATTATTAAATTAAATTATTACAATGCTCGTAAAAATTACGAGAGGTAATAAAGTGGCAGCGATCAAAAGTTATAGTCGATTTTAATTTTTAATAGTGAAAGAATCTATTTAATGCAAGTACAACAACAATAAATTACAAGTTTAATATTATTGCAAGTCTTTAAGTTTTTTAAAAATTTAATTCTTTACAAAATACACACAAAACTTGTACTTACATTCGCTTTTGCCCTTTGCGGAATCACCTTCTACCATTCTATAGTTCAGGGGTTTTTTGGCTTCTTGTGCGCGTAGCAAAAAGGAAATTGGGATTATCTTGCGGGGTTTTTTGTTGGCTTTTTGCTCTAAGCTCTGCTTAGATGGGTACAGTTGTGTCTGCCTCGCTTAACGGTCTGTAGAGAGAGAGAGAGAGAGAGAGAAGGCGAGTGTTATCGATTGGCTAACCACACACATACATCGATTGATCGATCGATCGTTTCGACATTTCGAAGAGCAGAGGGAAGTGGGTTAATTTAACGCAATTGGGCGGCAATTGAGCTGAATGAATGAACGATCTGCTCGTCGCGCACAAACAACATCGTAATTGATTAATAAAAAATTATGCCCGAAATAGTCGCGAGCACAGAAATTAACCGAAAGTGCTGAAGGCGTGAAAAAACCCCCATTTCGGGTCGACATTTTTATTAATAAATAATTGGGCGAGATGAATTTGTCGAATATTTGAATGTCACAGGGGTGGGCGTTAAATATATAGATATTACAATAATATTTAGGCACTCAAAAGTAATGAGGCTCTATTGAATATAATTATTTTGGGGCATTTTATTTTATAAAATCTAAATGAAATGAGGAAAATAAATCGAAGCGATTTTCTTTTGCTCTCCCGTCGAATTTAAAATTCAATTCGTGATTTATAGCGGCTATCTTTCACTTTATTCATTAGACAGGAGCAACAACAATTGATTCGCATTCGCATTGAACCTGAACCTGAACCTGCCGTACGCATGCGCAATGAAGGAGAACAGGAACCAAAAGCGCAACGGCAAGTGCACTGCGAGAAAATATGGTTATTAACCGAGTTAAGATAAAGCCTACATCTTGTCTCTTTAAGATATTTATTAATATCTAAGCCTTTGTTTCAAGATCCATTCTTTATAGACATGAAACCCACAACACAACCCATTTCGTTTTGTGTAGACACTCGTGGGTGGTTGTGTTCCATTGCCACTGCGTTCCGTTCCGCACTTTTCCTCTTTGAAAGCTAAAGATAATCGCCAGCAATTAGCCATGTTTTATTATGAATATATGATTTATGCTGATTTATGCCCTGGACGATGAGTAAACGTAAGGTAAACGCCTACACTTCCGCAGTCCGGAGTTAAAGGCCCTTCACCTGGCCTTCGTACCAGTCCCAGTTCCATTCCACTCCCGATCTTATTCCCATTCCCATTTCCATACCATTTCCCGCCATAAAAAGTACAGTCACACCTCCGAAAGCTAAGGCATTCGTATATTATGATATTAAAGCGTATTCAATGGAGTTTAGAAAAGGTTTCTAGCCATAGAAGTACGACTGTTTAGCTCGGCTATGCCATGCATATTGGCGCCATAAAAAAAACGCACTTGTTTCCAGTTTTGTGCCGCTGAACAAGTCGCATTATATATTTGATTGTCTTTTTCAGGCGCAATTAAAGCAGCGCAACTGGAAAAACTGCGTGTGAATGGAATACCCCGGACTTGACTTCGTCTCCCAGCTTTATACTTAATACTTTATACACGGGGCCTCAATGTCATCCGATTCCGATTCCAATTCCGATGCATGTACAATATATATGTATCGGATCGGATCGAATCGGATCGGATGCCCAAGGGAAGGGGGGGGCTAGGGGTCTATAGGCTATGGAAAATGGGGATTGAGTGGACCGTTTCGTTCCGTTTATGGTGAACACTACTTGTACAGTGCTTTGTTTTTCTGCGCCTTTGCATATCTCAGATTAATTAGCACATAAAACTGAGACCGAGACTTCGGGGCACTCAGCCAGATGATATATCGGAAATAGTTCGGTTCGAAGTCTGAATGAACCCATAAAACTACAGATTTAAGCAAAACATTTGTGAGAAACTGAAGCTGAACCACTCAATCGATTACCAAACCAGTGCGAAAAAAGTGACTCAGAGAAATTGTTTAGATTCTCCTAAAAAAAAACGGGGATATGTAAGCAAAACATTTCCCAAGCACACAGTATTTCAGGTTCGAGGCCCTTAAGATACTTAAAGTGTAATATTCTAAGCAATGTGATGTCTTTTGAAATAATTTATATAATATATGGGCTTTTTGCTATCTTCCTAAAATGTCTTAATATTTTTGTGTGTACAAACGTAACAAAAACATTCCTTCTTTAGTAATTTCCTTGTTTCTTAGATTTTAGAATGTTAATTACAAAAAATTGGCAGTCGTAGATAATAGAAGCTTGCTTTTTATTTATATAATCTTCCTACGGTTTTTTCTACTTTTTGTAGTGCAAAATATTGAGTTTGTTAATTGGCAGGTCTGCTAATTTGCCCCAACTTTGTTTTCGATGATTGGCATTCCGTTATTACCTGTTGGCTGTTTTTTTTTTTTTTTTGGGATTGTTGGCTCGTTTCTGACCTGGAGATCTTTTGGGGTATGTTGGCACCTGTGTTTTGTTCGAGGCTCGATTGTTTGGCAATTAATTTTGTTATTTTGTTTTTTGTTTTTTTTTTTAATAAAATATGTATTCTCTTTGCACCGTTAAATATTTGCCTTTACTGCGCGCGGTTACGCCCTGTATTATATTTTTCGTTTTTGCACTTGTTTGGTGTTTGTTTTGCTTGTTTGGTTTGTTTATTTTGACTTTTTGTTGTTGGTGGATCAAAATTTGCATAAAATTGCTCGTCAGCTGAAAGTGGTGGACTGTTTGTGTTTTTGCTTGTAGTGGATCTTGGCGTTCTTGGTGCGCGGAGTTCTCGGCGAGGTTCGGTTTGGATTGTTGCAAACAACTGGCGAAAACATTAAAACCGTTGGCTGGCACACAGGGGGCACATCGAAATCGATATAAGGTCGAACCAAAAAAAATTGGGATTTATTTCAGGCGGCAGATTTGAGGGGTCGGCGTTACTTTTGGAGCGGTCTCTCGTCTCTCGATCAACGTTCGTGCACTTCAAGCGGTGGAAAGTATCTGAGCGGCGTTTTCACGTCCGCTTAAATACACAGAAATCGCATCCGCGGAACGGGCGGCAATGGAACGTGGCTTATCAGCCGCTCAGCCGTCAGCCCACCACCCCCTTTTACCGTTTTCTCCACCGCCCACCGATCGGCGTTCCATTCCGCTTCGTTCCCCCGGCTGCGCGCGCGCTCACTAATTGAAATTCAAATTGCGATCATCATTGGCAAGTGCGACCAGCAATTGCAAATCAATTAAATGATAACACCGAAGAAAGCAAATCAAAACAAGAAATGATCAATGATCAACGATCGGCGATCAGCGGGGAGTGGCCGCGATTCGATTGAGTTCCCCCAGAGATCAGGATCCCAGGGAACCCACTTATCATACAACGACCTCTTGAGCACTGTGCATAATTTCAAATGGAATTATAAAATTAATCCTCTTAAATACTGGTTAATTATCATGATAATACTAATAGGAAATTATTATTAAAATATTTCCGAAAATGTTGAAAAAGTCTTTTTGTTTTAAATCTATAAATAAAGAAACCGATTACTAGTTTGGACCATGGCCAAAATTACTCAAAAAACTGAAAATGTCTCATAAATCAAGTTTATGACCTCGAATATTATTGAGTTGTCACGGCAAAGAAACATATTTTTCTGTTTTCCAACTGAGTTCTCTATTCTAAATAATTTTTAACGATAAAAAATGCCTTGCGTAATTCTGAATGAATCAAATTCACTAGAACTATGATATAGGGTTTTTTAAAAACGATAACGAAACATGACTCGGAAAGATCCAAGTATTATTAATTGAGGAAACCGATGCGAAAATCGTTAACGGATCGTGATCTACCTTGATCCCTGTGAAAACAGTTCGGGTGAGTCAAGTTCAGTATGATCAACGATCGCATAACGTAACTTTCCGATCGATCGGGTGACAAACCCGATGAGAATTCAAAATTCGACTTCGGATCCCTTTTTTGCGAACAATTAACGGCAACAGGCATCGGCTTAAGTGATCAAAAGAATTATACTTGAGACTTAATAGCGGCATTATCATTATTATTGTTGATATTGTTACATATAGCGAGAGCACATATACGTATATATGGATTATACGTATTGTTGTCATGGCGATTACTGATACTACCACTCGATTGCGGCGAGCAATGATCGTGTAAGCTGGCCATGTGACTTGTGATCCTCGAATAAACGAAATAAACACACAAAAAAGTGCTCTTCAAAACAAATATTAAGAACGGAACGATCTATTAGCGGTTTCGAAGTGATGCAATTAGAGGAGCTCATTTATCATTATATTATATGATGCGAAAAAATGCCATAAAGTCGATCGACTTCTGTCTAATTGCTTAATTGTTAGCCGCATTTCGGTGGGAGTTTTTCGCTCAGTGAGTCATCTGTTTTTGGGCAGTTTATGCGGGCCTCAAGAACGCGAACAAAGGAAAACCCAGATGGTCGCTTTCCCAGAAGACGATGTGACTCTCTCCCGAGTTATTAGCAAATTTAGATTAAGGCCTTGCATAATGGGCGATTAGTTCAGAAGGTAGTCGTAACCTGACGCTAATTTCTGGTTTTTTTCGTTTGCGAAATTATCGCACCTCTGACCCACAGAAGAGACCAGCACAAAAAAGATTGGATGTCAATGGGGTGCAGTACGTGTACGTGTTCTTTGTTCGCTTCTCATTTTCGCTTAATATTTCGCTAACCGTTTGTTTAAGCCGCCCACAATTAATTTAATTAGACATTGTTGTCACGGAACCGAACACGGCTAATTGAAAATTATGCTGGACGAAAGACAGCTTAATTACGATCGTAATAATAAAATAGCCCCTTGCTATAGAATCGAATGGTATAGAATTCAATGAATACAAAATAGTACCCTTAAGGGTTGTGTCTGGGCTAAGGGTCCAATGGTTGCGGCCCTCGCTAAGTTCAATTTGGGGCGTATGTGGCCATGGGTGAGTTTAATCTACAAACAATAACGGAGCCGATGAGCACAGATGGGCCTATATATATAAATAACATGATTTCCTACATATATGTATAGTAGACTAGAATATATATATTTATCTGTTCATATATGTACTGGCTATTGTTGCTGAATGTTAATCAAACTGCGGGTGCTCGAAACTCGTTCGAATCGGTTTTATTATTTCTTTTTTTTTCGTATTTCCACATCTTCAGTTTATCTTCAATTGAAGAAACCAGCATTTTTGTACTGCTCTCGCGATCGCTGCACAAACATTTCAATTAATTGACCACTTTCAATTAAAGACAATGTGCGAAACGAAAACAAAAGTCGGGAAGAGAGCGTGAAAATAACGAATAGGAATTACGAAAAAATCGCAATTCGGAATTCCGAATTGGGTATCCAATAAACAACGGATGGGATCGCATCGCTCTATGTCTGATAATTCAAAACAAATAAACATGACTAAGAGATGGCTGGAGATTTTGTTGTCGAGAGAGTGTGACTGTGAGCCACAGTGAACCCTCTCCGGAGGCGAACTGGCGACCCAGCAACAAGACTTTAAAGCTATTCCCGATTTGTATGATTCAGCGGACCTACGAACTGTATGATGAATAACCCGACTAAGAAGTGAGTTTCGTCACGAGTTTTTGGCAACATTTTTTGGAGAAAAATTCCATAGATATTTTCTAGCATTTTTATTAAATACAAAATATATCCTTTTCTTGGAAAACTTTTGGTCAACTTTAGATCAGAATTTTTGAGACATTTTTTTTAAGAACTTTTGCCTTAAGCTCACTTAAATGCTCTTCAAAAATTCCAGAATATTTTGGAGTACCCAAAAGAGGGCCTGAAATTCGAGGATTACGAATATTTGCATTAATCGGGCACAGGTGTCTGTCTGCCTTCCGTTTTTTTGTGCCTTCTGATCTGATATTCACTTTGGCAAACGTACAATATGTTAATATCGCGATTTCTTACTTTTTGCTTATTCCACTTGATCTTTTTTTTTTGAGATTCGCGGGCGCGCGACAATTTAGTTTGCATAATTAATTTATGCGTATTTGTTATTTTCAGCTGTTACAACGTATTTTGAGCGGTAAAAAAATGTACAAAAAATTTATTGGAATAAAGAATGTGGAATAATGCCCCTGGGCGGCAGAAAATAATTTGTTTTCTGAATCTGAATCTTATTTATGAGCAACAGGAAGACGACAACCTGCGCTGTCTGCTGAATCACCTTGCCCATTGTATTTTATCCTTGGGGCAGGGGGAGGTTTTTCTTAAAAAAAAAAAAATAAAAAAAATCTGGGGGATGGGGGTTACGCACCTACTACTGCTGTCCTTGTCGACGATGTCGACGGTGTTCGAAAGAGTGTTGCTTGGCGAAGAAAGTTCGATGCGCGGCGAGAAGATGGATCGGGATACTATAGATCACGATACGGTATATCACTGGTTGGAGGAGCTCCACGCGGCTCCAAGAGCGATTGGACAATGCGTTCCAAGTTTCGTTGGGCCGCAGCTTTTATAAGCGATTTTACCCTGCGATCATCGGCGGCCCCTTTTTTGTTGTTCTTATTTTCTCCTCTCGGGATGCTGACTGTTCGCTCTTTTCGCGATCGCCACAATCTGTGTGTGCGCCTGCCACTCTCGGGGGCATTCGGTTCTTAACTTGTGTACACTCAGCTGCTTCTGTTTTTTTGTTGCTACTTTTTTTTCTTGACGTTATCGCCCAAAGATCGGAAAACAAAAAAAAAAATAATAATAAAGATGAGATGTGGCAGCATCAGCGATGTCGCCCTGCGATGCTTATCACTTGGCTCTCAGCGGGTCTTATCTTCCGACTCTACTCTACTCGTAATCGCAACAAAGTGTGCGGGGTACACGACAAAAACACAAGACTTGCAATCTTTATGGCTCGCTGCGAATGCAATGCTCTTCCTCGATTGCAAAGCTTGCAGTTTGTAAACACTTCTTGGTCCTTCGCGGCAGATCGGTTGCGAATCGGTAATGAGCGGGTAAGGGTTTGGATCTCGGATGGCAGGTTAATCATCGGTTATGTAGCGGTTAAATCAAATATTATAGATTGTATAGGCTGTCGAATCATAACTTCAGACCAAAACCGCAATGGTTTTCGTAAGGCTCATAGGGATTATAATTAAATAGCTTATGAATTGGTTAAAAATTGTTTTGCGCACCGAGCGAATCGCTTAGTCATGGGCATAGCTGCATGGTCCAGCTATGGGAATGATTTCGAAACGGGTCTGAACCAGTTGAGCGATCGGTATGGACCAGCTAGGGGTTGATAATGCACTTTGGCCTTTCATAAGTCCCGTAATATCGCCGCAAATACCGCGGTTAAAAACCAATCGAAATCGTTGCAGGGTCCCAGAAAGAATCGCTCGTCAACAAATATCCAGGCGATACAGAAATAGATCTCTGCGAAGATATATATATTAAATATATATGGTCATATGGTAAGTGTGCGTGCGAATTCAGTGCCTCTCTCGCGTTTTTTTGTCGCCTCACATGTGTCGGAATTATTTGCGTGCTGGTCTTCCGCCCCCTTAGTGCCCCCAGAGCCCCTTTGGAGCAGCCCCCCCCCCTCCTCCTCCTCCTGCTCCCCCCGGGCGGCGGCAAAAGATCTACGTAATTTTTTCAGTTTCATAAAAAAAACGAATATCTTTTTGTGTGTGCAAAGGTTTTTTCCGCAGCCCACAGCCATGAAAAGTCCAAGATCAGCAAAATGCGAATGCTAGACGGTTTTCCATATAGATGTTCGGGGAATAATTGCAAGGAATTTTTAGTGGTTTAACAGTTTTCCTTTTCTAGGGATACCAAGAAGGATCTTTTATATCCTACTTACATATAAAACATGTTAACTCTTCGATAATGTTAAACTAACTTAAGAATATGAAGTATAAAATATTACTAAAATAATAATACCTATTAGTGAGAATTCTACATAATAAAAGTAAGTTATTTTGGGTCTTCAACAGGTGATT